CGAAGACGAAATCCATTGAGATGGATTCCCAGCACTCAACCGGAACCGGTAGAGGCTGTAAAGGTGCACGCAGTGAAGGACTTGACTTCACTCGTTGGCAGACTTCGCATGCGCGAACATACTTTCGCACAAACTGATACTGGCGGGGCCAGTAAAAGTCTCGACTTACCGTGAGATATGTTTTCTCTCGGCCACGATGTCCTCCTATAGGAGCATCGTGATACTCGAACATGATCCGCAAACGCAGATCAGTATCATCTGGAATGACAACACGTGGTGTGTCACCAGAAACGGCTGTATAGTACAGTAAACCGTTACGAGTAGTGTATCGATCTGATGCAGATCGATACGCAGACGACAATCGTTTCAACGATTCTCGAGATGGTTGGGAGAGATGTGACAACAACTTCACAATCTCACCATCTTGGGCGTATGCCCGCCTCACATCATCATACAACGTTGTAGATGGAACTGAGGACGTCATAACCGCAACAGTGACTGTCTCACTGTTGGGTTTCGCGACTGTTTCAAAGTCGGGACGACGTGAGAGTGCATCAGCGACGACATTAAGTCGTCCTGGTTTGTACTCGACCGTAAAGTTGTATTCTGCAAAGAATGACAACCACCGCGCCATTCGTTGTGAAAGGTGCGGGCTGTTCACTGCCGTGCGTAAGGACGCATGGTCAGTGTAAACAACGAAGGGTCTATCTCCTAATAGATAGACTCTGAACTTCGCGAGTGCATACTTCATGGCAAGGAGTTCCTTGTCATGCACTGGATAGTTCCGCTCAGCTGGGTGCAGCTGACGCGACTGATAGCAGACGACGCGTTCAACGCCTTCAAGGTCGTACTGCATTAATGCACAGCCGATTGCGAAATCGCTGGCATCACAGACCACATGAAATGGCCTGTCCTGATCGGCTATTGCTAGGACTGGGGATTGTATCAAGCTCTGCTTGATACCCTCAAAGGAGCGTTGACATTCAGCGTTCCATAACCACCTCTCGTTCTTTTTCAACAAACGAGAGAGGTGTACAGTCATCTCGGCGTAATTGCGTGAATACTTATGCAAATACGCCGCTAGCCCAAGGAATTTTCGAAGACCTTTGACATCGACCGGCACGGGCCAGTCGGTGATCGCCTTGATCTTTTCGGGATCAGGACGTACACCGTTCTTACCAACGATGCACCCAAGAAGTGGTATTTCGCTTGTTGCAAAAATACACTTCTTGAGGTTTGCATACAATTGATGCTTTCGCATGATTGTAAGAACTTGTCGGACGTGGTACCTGTGAACCTCAACGTCCGACTTTCCATCCATAGCTCGACTATGGATGAATACGTCATCGAAATAACTCGGCGCGAATTCTCGTACTGGCCTCAACAGATGTGATACACACCTGTTGAACGTGGCAGGGGCATTACTGAGCCCTTGTGGCATTACTAGCCATTCCCAGAGCATGCCGCTAGGCGTGCTAACTGCGGTATAGGGTACATCCCGTTCCCGCATTAGGATTTGATAGAAGCCATCCATCAAATCCATGGACGAAAAGATGGTACTCTTTGACATACCATCAATGATTACGTCCTTCCTCGGTATCGGCGTCTGAGCCGGTACCGTTGCAGCGTTCAATTTGTTAAACGCGTGCACTATCCGCCACCCTCCTGTTGCTTTTCGCACACAGAAGGTCGGAGAGCTATGTGGGGAAGTTGATTCCCTCACATGGCCCGCTGCTAAACGATCGGCAAAGAACTTGTCGATCGCAAGTACTTGTTCACGAGGCAGTGGCCACTGCTTCATGACACAGTACTTCGAGCCTGGTTTAAGCTCGACTTCGTGTCGAATACCTTTATCCTTCGGTAATTCGCACGGAACAGTTTCAGGGAATACATCCTTGAATTCAACCAAATCTTCATAGAGAGGATTTTCCTTGAGCGATTCCCATGATTGGGACTCATATCGCTCAATTCGTGTCTTTTCATCTAGGACACTCTCGTCCATAGATGAACTACTGAGAACTCTCTCGTTCTCAGTAAACACTGTTGCTGACCTTATGTCGGCTACACACTCGTCGTCAGCGACGAGTATGCAGATCTGCTTGACTTTGCCACTACGCAGATCACGCAAGAACCTTTTATGTTCGAGCGTTGGCAACTGAGTGATCTCCGAAGTTAACTTCGGAGGCGCAATCAGATCAAGTGTATAAGCGCCTACACATGATCCGTTATTGACTATGACATTTAACGTCTCTGTCATTTCCTAGGGACTCATTCCCTCAGGCATCAAAGGACTTATTCCTTCGGATTCCCGGGGACTTATTCCCGCGGGTTTCGGGGAACTTATTTCCGCCGTATTTGTAATCTTGGGACTTATTCCCTTTACTTCCTCTAGCTGGGGTTGCGCAACCACAGCGAGATCCTCTACGAAAGACTCTCCAGTCGATCTAGGATTATCGTTTCGCTTAACCTGAGCGATCGATTGTTTCTCTTCTAGATGTTCCCCGCTAGGGATACATCTTTGTCCCAGTCCACCCGACTTATTCGAGTGGTGGACCTTCGGCGCAGCCTGTGTTTCCTCACAGCCGCCGGAACTTTGCTCCGAAGTGTAACCGTTTGTTACACTAAGGTTTTGTGCAGTCGTACTAACGACCGTACCACAAGTGAGGCCATCGCACTCACTCGTAGTACATCCACACGCTTGTGGACGCTCCAAAACGTTCATCAGATGGCCATCTGATGAACAAGCGGCAGGCATCGTTACTGTCCGATGTTGCCAGTTTACCCGTGGTTCGTACCTTCTGAGCTACGGTATTCCAAGGAAGACATCAAATTTGTCATCCAAATCCAATACGATAAAGTCATCGTCGTATTGGGTATCTTCTAGCGTATAGTGAATCTTCACTATACGCTTCATGACGGTTACGGATGCGCCTGTCGCAAGACGTACCGTCATCCTCGTAGGAGGTGTGTCACATTCACTGAATTTAAAGTGACCATCTTCTAGCGATTGGCGTCGCACAAAATTGTTGGACGCCCCACAATCGACTAGAGATCTAAGGGACAACTTATTCGTCACTTCGAGTTTCAAGGTAATGAGTGAGATCTCATTACCTAGAGCAGCAACGCACAATGTCTGTGTGTTGGGAGCAACCTTCATCAAGAGGCCTACAAATTCTCTTGACGTTGCTGGATCAGTAGGGTGCTCCGCACCTACTGATCCTGTCCGTTTTTTGACGGTCCATCCCGTTGTTGCGTCTTTGCACCAACTGCGGACCCTCGTCCCTGCCCCTTTCTCATGGGTGGATGGTCACTACGCCCAGTGTCGCGAGACACTGGACGAGGGGCACTACACTCGTAAGCGTAGTGTCCTGTCTTTTGACATCTGTTGCATCTCTGCAACTTCTTGTAGCCTGTAGAGCGAGCCTTCTCGCTCTCTACATAACAAAGTTCCATCGGCTCTGGACCTCCGTTGTCATATCGTCTCGGTTGACGATATGATGTCGAGCTGGCGCGAGCCTGTCTCAGACTGAAGTCTTCCTGCTCCGCAATTGAAATGGCTTGTTCTAGTGAATCTAGTTCAAGCCGGAACAGGTGAGTCTTGACGGGACCATCCGCAAGACCCTGCATGAACACCGAAACCAACGTGTGTTCATCCACCGGATTGGAACTTATACAACTCGTGAGATGTCGTATATGTTGCGCGTAAGCGTGCACATCACGCTTACCCTGCTTGAGCTTCAAGAGTTCGGTTCGAGCTCTGAACTCAGCTCTAGGCGGTTCAAACGTTTGTCTGAGCCGCGACTTGAAGACTTCCAACGACCCAAACGCATATGGGTCGTGCAGCTTGAGCCCCAGTGCCCAAGTCTTGGCACGTCCTGCCAGATTTGACTGGGCAAATGCAACTTGCATATCCCCGTCGTCGATGCGACGCGCCCTTATGGCGTCATCCAATTCGACGAAACATCTCAAGAGGGAGTCCTCTTCGACTCCCCTATACTTGGAGATGTCAATCTTCAAAGTCTCGGGCCGACGCGAGTGCATCGACCCGCCAGCAGCAGCCTGCTGCTGTCTCAACAGTTCAAACTGTTGAGCACCTTGTTCTCTCAACAACTCTGCTTGTTGAGAACCTTGTTGGTGAAGCAAGGCTACTTTCTCGCGTTCTGCGTCAAGTTCATTTTGAATGAACTTGGCGATAGTAGCATGTTGGGCATCTCTATTGAGAGCCTCTAGCATGACGCTAACAGCATGGATGCCCATGGTCGAACCCATTCGTTCAACCGCATCCCATTCGACATCGCTCAAATGGGAGTAGCCGTCACGCGTAGCGTGAAAGCTTTGGTCATCTTCATCATCCAACATATTCATGTTAGATGTGAACGTGGTCCTTGGACGGACTACGAAGTGCTACCAGGTGTAACGGGGCACCCTGAAGCTTGTACTGGTGACAGTACAAGCTACTTATTCTGATGACAGAATAAGGCGGTGCCTCGTAACTTCACGTACACTCGTACGTGCAGAGGAAGACGGTAAGAAGAAGCGAGTACTTGGTTAGAGTAAAAAGTAGAACTGTATTTATAATAGTTAATGTCTGCAATAAATCACTATTTATCTTCATCTAACTATGTCTAAATACAAATGTGTAAATCAGTTATCTGCTCACCACTCATTGCGTGCGTCTGTCGTGGCGCGTCTTCGTTGGTTGATATAATGGCCTATATCAACAAATTAGGAACTACTTGGAAGTGCTACAGAATATTGTCCTTATGACAATATTCTGAGAATATAACTCTTATAGTTATATTCTATTAACAATTTCTTATAAATTGTTATGTAACGATTCACCCCGTTACAACGGTAACTCCGAAGACCGACACTCCCACCGCGACGGTGACTCCCACTACGGTAGTCAGAACCAAGACTCGTCCTACTATAACAGCGACAGTGGTAGCTACAACAGCGGCAGCTACGAAGGTGATGACGACCACAGCAACGGCCACCACATGAGTGATCGACAAATCAGCGACAGCTATGGAGAGGGTAAGTACAACAGCGGTGACCACATGAGCGACCACCACCACAACAGCAACAACCACAACAGCAACAGCTACGGAGAGAACGAGTCCACCAATTACAACGGCAAGAATGACAACACCAACGATGACATGAACAACAACAACGACAAGAACGACGACGGCAATGAGGACAACAACAGCGACAGATACGAAGGTGGCCACCGCACCAGCGATTACCACAAGAGCGGTGGCTATGGAGAGGGTCACTACAACGGCGGCCACCACAACAGTGGTAGCTACGAGAAGTGGTAGCTACAATAACGGTACCTTTAACCAAGGCATAAACGGATACCTTTCCATCAAATCGCCTTCCAACTCCTTTTTTGACAAGATTCCGACTACGAAACTGTCGGGACGCAGTAGGTCGATGAGGACAGACACATTCGTATAGCTGTTGGTAGAAACAGGGCAAGAGAGCTGTTGTCCCTGCGATCAGTTGACCAATTACTCGGTGATGACCGCATCAACTGATACTGGAAGGAAGTGGCGGACCGTTCCGACCGTCATGCTAGCGTGGCAACTGCTTCCCAAACGCCATCATTCGATAACGAGAATTCGAGGATGTCACGCTTTCTACCATTAGCAAAACAGGACCAAATGGTTGGCGTTGTCATCCATTCGTTGTTCATGAGCCCTCGGACAGCACTTTCCATCAAGATGGACGTTGGTTATCGAACACGTGCTAAGGTAATGCGCACGGTCGATCGAACGAGCGTAGCATAGATTAATGCTTTGTGCTCGGTAAATTGGGATGGACTAACATCTGCTACTATCGCATGACGTGATGGTCAAATGCAACTTACCCAGTCACTGTAACAGGGTGAATCGTTACATAACAATTTAATTAGAAATTTTCAATAGAATATAACTATAAGAGTTATATTCTCAGAATATTGTCATAAGGACAAATATTCTGTAGCACTTCCAAGTAGTTCCTAATTGGTTGATATAGGCCATTATATCAACCAACGAAGACGCGCCACGACAGACGCACGCAATGAGTGGTGAGTAGATAGTTGATATGCACATTTGTATTTAGACATAGTTAGATGAAGATAAATAGTGATTTATCGCAGACATTAACTACACTAAATACAGCTCTACTTTTTACTCTAACCAAGTACTCGCTTCTTCTTACCGTCTTCCTCTGCACGTACGAGTGTACGTGAAGTTACGAGGCACCGCCTTATTCTGTCATCAGAATAAGTAGCTTGTACTGTCACCAGTACAAGCTTCAGGGTGCCCCGTTACACCTGGTAGCACTTCGTAGTCCGTCCAAGGACCGCGTTCACATCTAACATGAATATGTTGGATGATGAAGATGACCAAACCTTTCACGCTACGCGTGACGGCTACTCCCATTTGAGCGATGTCGAATGGGATGCGGTTGAACGGATGGGTTCGACCATGGGCATCCATGCTGTTAGCGTCATGCTAGAGGCTCTCAATAGAGATGCCCAACATGCTACTATCGCCAAGTTCATTCAAAATGAACTTGACGCTGAACGCGAGAAAGTAGCCTTGCTTCACCAACAAGGTTCTCAACAAGCAGAGTTGTTGAGAGAACAGGGTGCTCAACAGTTTGAACTGTTGAGACAGCAGCAGGCTGCTGCTGGTGGGTCGATGCACTCGCGTCGACCCGAGACTTTGAAGATTGACATCTCCAAGTATAGGGGAGTCGAAGAGGACTCCCTCTTGAGATGTTTCGTCGAATTGGATGACGCCATAAGGGCGCGTCGCATCGACGACGGGGAAATGCAAGTTGCATTTGCCCAGTCAAATCTGGCAGGACGTGCCAAGACTTGGGCACTGGGACTCAAGTCGCACGACCCATATGCGTTTGGGTCGTTGGAAGTCTTCAAGTCGCGGCTCAGACAAACGTTTGAACCGCTTAGAGCTGAGTTCAGAGCCCGAACCGAACTCTTGAAGCTCAAGCAGGGTAAGCGTGATGTGCACGCTTACGCGCAACATATACGACATCTCACGAGTTGTATAAGTTCCAATCCGGTGGATGAACACACGTTGGTTTCGGTGTTCATGCAGGGTCTTGCGGATGGTCCCGTCAAGACTCACCTGTTCCGGCTTGAACTAGATTCAATAGAACAAGCCATTTCCATTGCGGAACAGGAAGACTTCAGTCTGAGACAGGCTCGCGCCAGCTCGACATCATATCGTCAACCGAGACGATATGACAACGGAGGTCCAGAGCCGATGGAACTTTGTTATGTAGAGAGCGAGAAGGCTCGCTCTACAGGCTACAAGAAGTTGCAGAGATGCAACAGATGTCAGAAGACAGGACACTACGCTTACGAGTGTAGTGCCCCTCGTCCAGTGTCTCGCGACACTGGGCGTAGTGACCGTCCACCCATGAGAAAGGGGCAGGGACGAGGGTCCGCAGTTGGTGCAAAGACGCAACAACGGGATGGACCGTCAAAAAACGGACAGGATCAGTAGGTGCGGAGCACCCTACTGGTCTAGCAACGTCAAGAGAATTTGTAGGCCTCTTGATGAAAGTTGCTCCCAACACACAAACGTTGTGCGCTGCTGCTCTAGGTAATGAGATCTCACTCATTACCTTGAAACTCGAAGTGACGAATAAGTTGTCCCTTAGATCTCTAGTCGATTGTGGGGCGTCCAACAATTTTGTGCGACGCCAATCGCTAGAAGATGGTCACTTTAAATTCAGTGAATGTGACACACCTCCTACGAGGATGACGGTACGTCTTGCGACAGGCGCATCCGTAACCGTCATGAAGCGTATAGTGAAGATCCACTATACGCTAGAAGATACCCAATACGACGATGACTTTATCGTATTGGATTTGGATGACAAATTTGATGTCATCCTTGGACAACCGTGGCTCAGAAGGTACGAACCACGAGTAAACTGGCAACATCGAACAGTAACGATGCCTGCCGCTTGTTCATCAGATGGCCATCTGATGAGCGTTTTGGAGCGTCCACAAGCGTGTGGATGTACTACGAGTGAGTGCGATGGCCTCACTTGTGGTACGGTCGTTAGTACGACTGCACAAAACCTTGGTGTAACAAACGGTTACACTTCGGAGCAAAGTTCCGGCGGCTGTGAGGAAACACAGGCTGCGCCGAAGGTCCACCACTCGAATAAGTCGGGTGGACTGGGACAAAGATGTATCCCTAGCGGGGAACATCTAGAAGAGAAACAATCGATCGCTCAGGTTAAGCGAAACGATAATCCTAGATCGACTGGAGAGTCTTTCGTAGAGGATCTCGCTGTGGTTGCGCAACCCCAGCTAGAGGAAGTAAAGGGAATAAGTCCCAAGATTACAAATACGGCGGAAATAAGTTCCCCGAAACCCGCGGGAATAAGTCCCCGGGAATCCGAAGGAATAAGTCCTTTGATGCCTGAGGGAATGAGTCCCTAGGAAATGACAGAGACGTTAAATGTCCTAGTCAATGACGGATCAAGTGTAGGCGCTTGTACACTTGATATGATTGCGCCTCCGAAGTTGACTTCGGAGATCACTCAGTTGCCAACGCTCGAACATAAAAGGTTCTTGCGTGATCTGCGTAGTGGCAAAGTCAAGCAGATCTGCGTACTCGTCGCTGACGACGAGTGTGTAGCCGACATAAGGTCAGCAACAGTGTTTACTGAGAACGAGAGAGTTCTCAGTAGTTCATCGATGGACGAGAGTGTCCTAGATGAAAAGACACGAATTGAGCGATATGAGTCCCAATCGTGGGAATCGCTGAAGACAAATCCTCTCTATGAAGATTTGGTTGAATTCAAGGATGTATTCCCTGAAACTGTTCCGTGCGAATTACCGAAGGATAAAGGTATTCGACACGAGGTCGAGCTTAAACCAGGCTCGAAGTACTGTGTCATGAAGCAGTGGCCACTGCCTCGTGAACAAGTACTTGCGATCGACAAGTTCTTTGCCGATCGTTTAGCTGCGGGCCATGTGAGGGAATCAACTTCCCCACATAGCTCTCCGACCTTCTGTGTGCGAAAAGCAACAGGAGGGTGGCGGATTGTGCATGCATTTAACAAGTTGAATGCTGCAACGGTACCAGCTCAAACGCCGATACCAAGGAAGGACGTAATCATTGATGGTATGTCAAAGAGTACCATCTTTTCGTCCATGGATTTGATTGATGGCTTCTATCAAATCCTTATGCGAGAACGGGATGTACCCTATACCGCAGTGAACACGCCTAGCGGCATGCTCTGGGAATGGCTAGTAATGCCAAAAGGGATTAGTAATGCCCCTGCCACGTTCAACAGATGTGTATCACATCAGTTGAGACCAGTACGAGAATTCGCGCCGAGTTTTTTCGATGACGTATTCATCCATAGTCGGGATATGGATGAAAAGTCGGACGTTGAGGTTCACAGGTACCACGTCCAACAGGTTCTTACAATCATGCGAAAGCATCAACTGTATGCTAACCTCAAGAAGTGTATATTTGCAGCAAGCGAAATACCACTTCTTGGGTGCATCGTTGGTAAGAACAGAGTACGTCCTGATCCGAAAAGATCAAGGCGATCACCGACTGGCCTGTGCCAGTTGATGTCAAAGGTCTTCGAAAATTCCTTGGGCTAGCGGCGCATTTGCATAAGTATTCACGCAATTACGCCGAGATGACTGTACACCTCTCTCGTTTGTTGAAAAAGAACGAGAGGTGGTTATGGAACGCTGAATGTCAGCGCTCCTTTGAGGGTATCAAGCAGAGCTTGATACAATCCCCAGTCCTAGCAATAGCCGATCAGGACAGGCCATTTCATGTGGTCTGTGATGCCAGCGATTTCGCAATCGGCTGTGCATTAATGCAGTACGATCTTGAAGGCGTTGAACGCGTCGTCTGCTATCAGTCGCGTCAGCTGCAACCAGCTGAGCGGAACTATCCAGTGCATGACAAGGAACTCCTTGCCATGAAGTATGCACTCGCGAAGTTCAGAGTCTATCTATTAGGAGATAGACCCTTCATTGTTTACACTGACCATGCGTCATTACGCACGGCAGTGAACAGCCCGCACCTTTCACAACGAATGGCGCGGTGGTTGTCATTCTTTGCGGAATACAACTTTACGGTAGAGTACAAACCAGGACGACTTAATGTCGTCGCTGATGCACTCTCACGTCCCGACTTCGAAACAGTCGCGAAACCCAACGGTGAGACAGTCACTGTTGCGGTTATGACGTCCTCAGTCCCATCTACAACGTTGTATGATGATGTGAGGCGGGCATACGCCCAAGATGGTGAAATTGTGAAGTTGTTGACACATCTCTCACAACCATCTCGAGAATCGTTGAAACGATTGTCGTCTGCGTATCGATCTGCATCAGATCGATACACTACTCGTAACGGTTTACTGTATTATACAGCCGTTTCTGGTGACACACCACGTGTTGTCATTACAGAAGATACTGATCTGCGTTTGCGGATCATGTTCGAGTATCACGATGCTCCTATAGGAGGACATCGTGGCCGGGAGAAACATATCTCACGGTGAGTCGAGACTTTTACTGGCCCCGCCAGTATCAGTTTGTGCGAAAGTATGTTCGCGCATGCGAAGTCTGTCAACGAGTGAAGTCAAGTCCTTCACTGCGTGCACCTTTACAGCCTCTACCGGTTCCGGTTGAGTGCTGGGAATCCATCTCAATTGATTTCGTCTTCGGGTTACCCAAAGACGCACGCGGGAATACTGGTATTTTCGTATTCGTTGACAGATTCAGCAAAATGGTACACCTAGTGGCTGTACCAGAGTCAATCACGGCAAGTGGCTGTGCTTGTGTCTTTATTGACACCATCTTTCGACTTCATGAGATGCCCCGTGAACTCGTATCAGACAGAGATCCACGATTCACTGCTGATTTCTGGCGTTCCGTGTTCAAATCACTCGGAACGCGCTTGAAGATGTCTACATCTGATCATCCAGAGTCAGATGTTCAGACGGAACGTGCCAATCGTGTCCTTGAAGAGATACTTCGAGGATACGTACACTCCTTTAAGAGTTGGAGTGAGTTTTTGCCAATGGTAGAGTTTGCCATTAACAACTCGGTGCATGCGTCCACGACCCATACACCGTTTTACGTGAATGGCTTGCGCCATCCGCGTGTACCCACCTTACTAGAGTGTAACTCTGGTTTAAGGGGGGAGGGACTCGCGCGAGCAAAAACCGATTTGGTTCACGCTCATCACGCTCTGACGAAGAGGTCATTGCGTTTGATGCCGATATCGATAACATCGATATCGAAGAAGATGATGCCAGTGAGAGTGCGGAAGCCCTCACTGAAGAATATGATGCCAGTGAGAGTGCGGAAGCCCTCACTGAAAAAGATTGTTGTTGCTGCAGTGCGCTCACAGCGCATCGAAGCTAACGAGCCAGCAGATGAGTTCATACTGGCTCGTGAAACGGTGGTCCGTTTTGTGCAAGATTCCATCGCCGAAGCGGTGGATAAGCAAAAGCAAAACGCTGACAAGAATGGAAGGGCAAACACTCTTTTATTCAATAAGGGTGACTTATTCCTACTGTCTATGGTTAATCTGCCAAAGCATGTAGTGACTAACTTGGGTAGAAGTAAACTACTACCCAAGTACATTGGCCCATTTCGTGTATTGCACCGCCTAGGCAATGCATACACGATCGAGTTACCACGTAAGATGCGAACGCATCCCACGTTTTACGTTGGTCGGCTTAAGCCGTACCATCAGTACGCTGCTTCTTCCGATGAAGAACGCCCTTGCGCTCAAGCATCTCGCAGAGAGCCTTGTGCTCCCGATGGTGGGCATCAACAAGGGTCTGAAGAGCGGCTATCTCATCCCGAGACCGATCAGCAATCCCACGAGCTACCCTTAGCTCGTCACGCAGAGATGTCAGAGATCTCTCGTTCTCAAGCTGAGCAAAGGCAAACTCAGCTCAATGCTTCAAGACAGTGTCCACCACTTGGAGACGCCTGTCCCGCTCATGTTCGAGATCGTCGCGTAACCCTTGCGTTACGCGATCAAAGAAGCTCTCGGGAACACACGGATCCCCATGATCGTGTGGAGAGCGTCTTTCCTCCTCCTCCACCTCCATTAGAGGACTCTCGCGGTGGCCAGCGCTATCTAGTTGAGCAGCTGTTGAACCACCGCGACGTGAACGGACGTCGGACGAGTTATCTCGTCCGGTGACGCGGCTATCCCCCGTCCTGGGATTCTTGGGAGCCCCGCTCCCAACTGATGATTGACGTACTGGGTCTGGTCGAGCAGTACGACGCGGCACATCCTGTGCCGCAGAAGGACCGCCGGAGAAAGTCTTCCCGGCACGGTCGTACAGGGATTTCAGGTTGTCAATCCCTTCGTACATCTCAGTAGAGACACGCACACGCCACCACGGGCTGGTAAGGAGGTAAGCCTCCTTAGGTGCTCGTGAAGAGTTGTTCACACAACATGGGCACGAGTCTCCCCATGAGAGGCAGGGTAATCCTTTCTCCCTTGACAGACGGTGCAGCTTGTAGCGTGCACCTGTCGGGGTTCGCTTTTCAAACTTATCACGAGCTTTGATAAGTTTGTCGTTCCAAGCGTCACGACCTACATCCTCGAGGTTATGGATGTAGGCGTTCCACGCCTGAAGTAGTGAGGGACCATCACGTTTGTGATTCCCACTGTACCATCGATGTCTAAAGAAAGCATCGATGAAGAACTCATGTTCAGCGCGATAGTTTTTCGCGCTGGGGTCAAGTGATGGATCCTTGACGAATCGAACAATCGTGTTCGATAACGATCACTCGTCGTCGCCGACAAGTGATCCATGACGGATTTTGGAGGCATCCATGCCTTCTTTTTCTTTCTAGACGCAAGACATTGCGGTCCCGCTCTTCCTGCGACGTGCCGACAGAAGTACTGGCACCTCGTTGCGAAGTGGTGTCCATAGGAGAACCGACACCACTATTAGCGCCCGAGTCTCGCGACCTCGAGCGCCTTCGCTTCGGCGATGGTTCATCTGATGAATCAGATGAACCAAAGATGCTGCGACGCAAAGCATCGTCCATGCCACGCTTGGCAGGCGGCTTGGATTCGATCGCCGTCGATACGGATCCGTCATCCGTATCAGGAGAGTACGAGACACCGAGCTCGTACTCTGTGAAGACACGAGTGTCTTCATGACCAGCGCCTGCATCACCAAGTGACACAGGCTGGGTCGCTTCAGCAACCGATGAGACATCAGTTGCTGTTGTTTCTGCTTCGGCGTCCGCACAAAGACGTGCAGACGCGCTCTTGGCGGCCTTGCTCGCGCATCGCATGGGCTTGTTAACCATGCGATGAAATGTTGGAAAATGGACTCGGACCAACGAGTGCAAATCCTGTCCCAAATGATTTGGGACGAGTATCCATTTAGTCAATCAGTCACTAAAGTGACTGATGGTTAAGGGGGGGGTGATGTAACGGGGTGAATCGTTACATAACAATTTATAAGAAATTGTTAATAGAATATAACTCTAAGAGTTATATTCTCAGAATATTGTCATAAGGACAAATATTCTGTAGCACTTACAAGTAGTTCCTAATTGGTTGATATAGGCCATTATATCAACCAACGAAGACGCCACGACAGACGCACGCAATGAGTGGTGAGTAGATAGTTGATATGCACATTTGTATTCAGACATAGTTAGATGAAGATAAATAGTGATTTATTGCAGACATTAACTACACTAAATACAGCTCTACTTTTTACTTTAACCAAGTACTCGCTTCTTCTTACCGTCTTCCTCTGCACGTACCAGTGTACGTGAAGTTACGAGGCACCGCCTTATTCTGTTATCAGAATAAGTAGCTTGTACTGTCACCAGAACAAGCTTCAGGGTGCCCCGTTACAGTCACCCTGCTTGGTGATACTAAACGCACTTGGCACTCTGTGGCTGGTGTACTCGATGTGTAACGGGGCACCCTGAAGCTTGTACTGGTGACAGTACAAGCTACTTATTCTGATGACAGAATAAGGCGGTGCCTCGCAACTTCACGTACACTCGTACGTGCAGAGGAAGACGGTAAGAAGAAGCGAGTACTTGGTTAGAGTAAAAAGTAGAACTGTATTTATAATAGTTAATGTCTGCAATAAATCACTATTTATCTTCATCTAACTATGTCTAAATACAAATGTGTAAATCAGTTATCTGCTCACCACTCATTGCGTGCGTCTGTCGTGGCGCGTCTTCGTTGGTTGATATAATGGCCTATATCAACCAATTAGGAACTACTTGAAGTGCTACAGAATATTTGTCCTTATGACAATATTCTGAGAATATAACTCTTATAGTTATATTCTATTAACAATTTCTTATAAATTGTTATGTAACGATTCACCCCGTTACATCACCCCCCTTAACCATCAGTCACTTTAGTGACTGATTGACTAAATGGATACTCGTCCCAAATGATTTGGGACAGGGTTTGCACTTGTTGGTCCGCGTCCACTTTCCAACATTTCATCGCATGGTAAACAAGCCCATGCGATGCGCGAGCAAGGCCGCCAAGAGCGCGTCTGCACGTCTTTGTGCGGACGCCGAAGCAGAAACAACAGCAACTGATGTCTCATCGGTTGCTGAAGCGACCCATCCTGTGTCACTTGGTGATGCAGGCGCTGGTCATGAAGACACTCGTGTCTTCACAGAGTACGAGCTCGGTGTCTCGTACTCTCCTGATACGGATGACGGATCCGTATCGACGGCGATCGAATCCAAGCCGCCTGCCAAGCGTGGCATGGACGATGCTTTGCGTCGCAGCATCTTTGGTTCATCTGATTCATCAGATGAACCATCGCCGAAGCGAAGGCGCTCGAGGTCGCGAGACTCGGGCGCTAATAGTGGTGTCGGTTCTCCTATGGACACCACTTCGCAACGAGGTGCCAGTACTTCTGTCGGCACGTCGCAGGAAGAGCGGGACCGCAATGTCTTGCGTCTAGAAAGAAAAGAAGGCATGGATGCCTCCAAAATCCGTCATGGATCACTTGTCGGCGACGACGAGTGATCGTTATCGAACACGATTGTTCGATTCGTCAAGGATCCATCACCTTGACCCCAGCGCGAAAAACTATCGCGCTGAACATGAGTTCTTCATCGATGCTTTCTTTAGACATCGATGGTACAGTGGGAATCACAAACGTGATGGTCCCTCACTACTTCAGGCGTGGAACGCCTACATCCATAACCTCGAGGATGTAGGTCGTGACGCTTGGAACGACAAACTTATCAAAGCTCGTGATAAGTTTGAAAAGCGAACCCCGACAGGTGCACGCTACAAGCTGCACCGTCTGTCAAGGGAGAAAGGATTACCCTGCCTCTCTTGGGGAGACTCGTGCCCATGTTGTGTGAACAACTCTGCACGAGCACCTAAGGAGGCTTACCTCCCTACCAGCCCGTGGTGGCGCGTACGTATCTCTACTGAGATGTACGAAGGGATTGACAACCTGAAATCCCTGTACGACCGTGCCGGGAAGACTTTCTCCGGCGGTCCTTCTGCGGCACAGGATGTGCCGCGTCGTACTGCTCGACCAGACCCAGTACGTCAATCATCAGTTGGGAGCGGGGCTCCCAAGAATCCCAGGACGGGGGATAGCCGCGTCACCGGACGAGATAACTCGTCCGACGTCCGTTCACGTCGCGGTGGTTCAACAGCTGCTCAACTAGATAGCGCTGGCCACCGCGAGAGTCCTCTAATGGAGGTGGAGGAGGAGGAAAGACGCTCTCCACACGATCATGGGGATCCGTGTGTTCCCGAGAGCTTCTTTGATCGCGTAACGCAAGGGTTACGCGACGATCTCGAACATGAGCGGAATAGGCGTCTCCAAATGGCGGACACTGCCTCGAAGCATCGAGCTGAGTTTGCCTTTGCTCAGCTTGAGAACGAGAGATCTCTGACATCTCTGCGTGACGAGCTAAGGGTAGCTCGTGGGATTGTAGATCGGTCTCGGGATGAGATAGCTGCTCTTCAGACCCTTGTTGATGCCCACCATCGGGAGCACAAGGCTCTCTGCGAGATGCTTGAGCGCAAGGGCGTTCTTCATCGGAAGAAGCAGCGTACTGATGGTACGGCTTAAGCCGACCAACGTAAAACGTGGGATGCGTTCGCATCTTACGTGGCAACTCGATCGTGTATGCATTGCCTAGGCGGTGCAATACACGAAATGGGCCAATGTACTTGGGTAGTAGTTTACTGCTACCCAAGTTAGTCACTACATGCTTTGGTAGATTAACCGTAGACATTAGGACTAAGTCACCTTTATTAAATAAAAGAGTGTTTGCCCTTCCATTCTTGTCAGCGTTTTGCTTTTGCTTATCCACCGCTTCGGCGATGGAGTCTTGCACAAAAACGGACTACCGTTTCACGAGCCAGTATGAACTCATCTGATGACTCGTTAGCTTCAGTGTGCTGTGAGCGCACTGCAGCGACAACAACCTTTTCTTCAGTGAGGGCTTCCGCACTCTCACTGGCATCATCTTCTTCGATATAGATGTTATCGATATCGGCATCAAACGCAATGACTTCTTCGTCAGAGCGTGATGAGCGTGAACCAAATCGGTTTTTGCTCGCGCGAGTCCCTCCCCCCCTTAAATCAGAGTTACACTCTAGTAAGGTGGGTACACGCGGATGGCGCAAGCCATTCACGTAAAACGGTGTATGTGTCGTGGACGCATGCACCGAGTTGTTAATGGCAAACTCTACCATTGGCAAAAACTCACTCCACATCTTAAAGGAGTGTACGTATCCTCGAAGTATCTCTTCTAGGACACGATTGGCACGTTCCGTCTGACCATCTGACTCTGGATGATCAGATGTCGACATCTTCAAGCGCGTTCCGAGTGATTTGAACACGGAACGCCAGAAATCAGCAGTGAATCGTGGATCTCTGTCTGATACGAGTTCACGGGGCAACCCATGAAGTCGGAAGATGGTGTCAATAAAGACACAAGCACAGCCACTTGCCGTGATTGTCTCTGGTACAGCCACAAGGTGTACCATTTTGCTGAATCTGTCAACGAATACGAGAATACCCGTATTCCCGCGTGCGTCTTTGGGTAACCCGAAGACGAAATCCATTGAGATGGATTCCCAGCACTCAACCGGAACCGGTAGAGGCTGTAAAGGTGCACGCAGTGAAGGACTTGACTTCACTCGTTGGCAGACTTCGCATGCGCGAACATACTTTCGCACAAACTGATACTGGTGGGGCCAGTAAAAGTCTCGACTTACCGTGAGATATGTTTTCTCTCGGCCACGATGTCCTCCTATAGGAGCATCGTGATCTCGAACATGATCCGCAAACGCAGATCAGTATCATCTGGAATGACAACACGTGGTGTGTCACCAGAAACGGCTGTATAGTACAGTAAACCGTTACGAGTAGTGTATCGATCTGATGCAGATCGATACGCAGACGACAATCGTTTCAACGATTCTCGAGATGGTTGGGAGAGATGTGTCAACAACTTCACAATCTCACCATCTTGGGCGTATGCCCGCCTCACATCATCGTACAACGTTGTAGATGGGAATGAGGACGTCATAACCGCAACAGTGACTGTCTCACTGTTGGGTTTCGCGACTGTTTCAAAGTCGGGACGACGTGAGAGTGCATCAGCGACGACATTAAGTCGTCCTGGTTTGTACTCGACCGTAAAGTTGTATTCCGCAAAGAATGACAACCACCGCGCCATTCGTTGTGAAAGGTGCGGGCTGTTCACTGCCGTGCGTAATGACGCATGGTCAGTGTAAACAATGAAGGGTCTATCTCCTAATAGATAGACTCTGAACTTCGCGAGTGCATACTTCATGGCAAGGAGTTCCTTGTCATGCACTGGATAGTTCCGCTCAGCTGGTTGCAGCTGACGCGACTGATAGCAGACGACGCGTTCAACGCCTTCAAGATCGTACTGCATTAATGCACAGCCGATTGCGAAATCGCTGGCATCACAGACCACATGAAATGGCCTGTCCTGATCGGCTATTGCTAGAACTGGGGATTGTATCAAGCTCTGCTTGATACCCTCAAAGGAGCGCTGACATTCAGCGTTCCATAACCACCTCTCGTTCTTTTTCAACAAACGAGAGAGGTGCACAGTCATCTCGGCGTAATTGCGTGAATACTTATGCAAATACGCCGCTAGCCAAAGGAATTTTCGAAGACCTTTGACATCAACCGGCACAGGCCAGTCGGTGATCGCCTTGATCTTTTCGGGATCAGGACGTACACCGTTCTTACCAACGATGCACCCAAGAAGTGGTATTTCGCTTGCTGCAAATATACACTTCTTGAGGTTAGCATACAATTGATGCTTTCGCATGATTGTAAGAACTTGTCGGACGTGGTACCTGTGAACCTCAACGTCCGACTTTCCATCCATAGCTCGACTATGGATGAATACGTCATCGAAATAACTCGGCGCGAATTCTCGTACTGGTCTCAACAGATGTGATACACATCTGTTGAACGTGGCAGGGGCATTACTGAGCCCTTGTGGCATTACTAGCCATTCCCAGAGCATGCCGCTAGGCGTGCTCACTGCGGTATAGGGTATATCCCGTTCCCGCATAAGGATTTGATAGAAGCCATCCATCAAATCCATGGACGAAAAGATGGTACTCTTTGACATACCATCAATGATTACGTCCTTCCTCGGTATCGGCGTCTGAGCCGGTACCGTTGCAGCGTTCAATTTGTTGAACGCGTGCACTATCCGCCACCCTCCTGTTGCTTTTCGCACACAGAAGGTCGGAGAGCTATGTGGGGAAGTTGATTCCCTCATATGGCCCGCAGCTAAACGATCGGCAAAGAACTTGTCGATCGCAAGTACTTGTTCACGAGGCAGTGGCCACTGCTTCATGACACAGTACTTCGAGCCTGGTTTAAGCTCGACCTCGTGTCGAATACCTTTATCCTTCGGTAATTCGCACGGAACAGTTTCAGGGAATACATCCTTGAATTCAACCAAATCTTCATAGAGAGGATTTGTCTTCAGCGATTCCCACGATTGGGAGTCATATCGCTCGATTCGTGTCTTTTCATCTAGGACACTCTCGTCCATCGATGAACTACTGAGAACTCTCTCGTTCTCAGTAAACACTGTTGCTGACCTTATGTCGGCTACACACTCGTCGTCAGCGACGAGTACGCAGATCTGCTTGACTTTGCCACTACGCAGATCACGCAAGAACCTTTTATGTTCGAGCGTTGGCAACTGAGTGATCTCCGAAGTCAACTTCGGAGGCGCAATCATATCAAGTGTACAAGCGCCTACACTTGATCCGTCATTGACTAGGACATTTAACGTCTCTGTCATTTCCTAGGGACTCATTCCCTCAGGCATCAAAGGACTTATTCCTTCGGATTCCCGGGGACTTATTCCCGCGGGTTTCGGGGAACTTATTTCCGCCGTATTTGTAATCTTGGGACTTATTCCCTTTACTTCCTCTAGCTGGGGTTGCGCAACCACAGCGAGATCCTCTACGAAAGACTCTCCAGTCGATCTAGGATTATCGTTTCGCTTAACCTGAGCGATCGATTGTTTCTCTTCTAGATGTTCCCCGCTAGGGATACATCTTTGTCCCAGTCCACCCGACTTATTCGAGTGGTGGACCTTCGGCGCAGCCTGTGTTTCCTCACAGCCGCCGGAACTTTGCTCCGAAGTGTAACCGTTTGTTACACTAAGGTTTTGTGCAGTCGTACTAACGACCGTACCACAAGTGAGGCCATCGCACTCACTCGTAGTACATCCACACGCTTGTGGACGCTCCAAAACGCTCATCAGATGGCCATCTGATGAACAAGCGGCAGGCATCGTTACTGTTCGATGTTGCCAGTTTACTCGTGGTTCGTACCTTCTGAGCCACGGTATTCCAAGGATGACATCAAATTTGTCATCCAAATCCAATACGATAAAGTCATCGTCATATTGGGTATCTTCTAGCGTATAGTGGATCTTCACTATACGCTTCATGACGGTTACGGATGCGCCTGTCGCAAGACGTACCGTCATCCTCGTAGGAGGTGTGTCACATTCACTGAATCTAAAGTGACCATCTTCTAGCGATTGGCGTCGCACAAAATTGTTGGACGCCCCACAATCGACTAGAGCTCGAAGGGACAACTTATTCGTCACTTCGAGTTTCAAGGTAATGAGTGAGACCTCATTACCTAGAGCAGCAACGCACAACGTTTGTGTGTTGGGAGCAACCTTCATCAAGAGGCCTACAAATTCTCTTGACGTTGCTAGACCAGTAGGGTGCTCCGCACCTACTGATCCTGTCCGTTTTTTTGACGGTCCATCCCGTTGTTGCGTCTTTGCACCAACTGCGGACCCTCGTCCCTGCCCCTTTCTCATGGGTGGACGGTCACTACGCCCAGTGTCGCGAGACACTGGACGAGGGGCACTACACTCGTAAGCGTAGTGTCCTGTCTTTTGACATCTGTTGCATCTCTGCAACTTCTTGTAGCCTGTAGAGCGAGCCTTCTCGCTCTCTACATAACAGAGTTCCATCGGCTCTGGACCTCCGTTGTCATATCGTCTCGGTTGACGATACGATGTCGAGCTGGCGCGAGCCTGTCTCAGACTGAAGTCTTCCTGCTCCTCAATGGAAATGGCTTGTTCTAGTGAATCTAGTTCAAGCCGGAACAGGTGAGTCTTGACGGGACCATCCGCAAGACCCTGCATGAACACCGAAACCAACGTGTGTTCATCCACCGGATTGGAACTTATACAACTCGTAAGATGTCGTATATGTTGGGCGTAAGCGTGCACATCACGCTTACCCTGTTTGAGCTTCAAGAGTTCGGTTCGAGCCCTGAACTCAGCTCTAGGCGGTTCAAACGTTTGTCTGAGCCGCGACTTGAAGACTTCCAACGACCCAAACGCATATGGGTCGTGCAACTTGAGCTCCAGTGCCCAAGTCTTGGCACGTCCTGCCAGATTTGACTGGGCAAATGCAACTTGCATATCCCCGTCGTCGATGCGACGCGCCCTTATGGCGTCATCCAATTCGACGAACCATCTCAAGAGGGAGTCTTCTTCGACCCCCTATACTTTAAGATGTCAATCTTCAAAGTCTCGGGTCGACGCGAGTGCATCGACCCGCCAGCAGCAGCCTGCTGCTGTCTCAACAGTTCAAACTGTTGAGCACCTTGTTCTCTCAACAACTCTGCTTGTTGAGAACCTTGTTGGTGAAGCAAGGCTACTTTCTCGCGTTCAGCGTCAAGTTCATTTTGAATGAACTTGGCGATAGTAGCATGTTGGGCATCTCTATTGAGAGCCTCTAGCATGACGCTAACAGCATGGATGCCCATGGTCGAACCCATTCGTTCAACCGCATCCCATTCGACATCGCTCAAATGGGAGTAGCCGTCACGCGTAGCGTGAAAGCTTTGGTCATCTTCATCATCCAACATATTCATGTTGGATGTGAACGCGGTCCTTGGACGGACTACGAAGTGCTACCAGGTGTAACGGGGCACCCTGAAGCTTGTACTGGTGACAGTACAAGCTACTTATTCTGATAACAGAATAAGGCGGTGCCTCGTAACTTCACGTACACTGGTACGTGCAGAGGAAGACGGTAAGAAGAAGCGAGTACTTGGTTAAAGTAAAAAGTAGAACTGTATTTATAATAGTTAATGTCTGCAATAAATCACTATTTATCTTCATCTAACTATGTCTAAATACAAATGTGTAAATCAAATATCTGCTCACCACTCATTGCGTGCGTCTGTCGTGGCGCGTCTTCGTTGGTTGATATAATGGCCTATATCAACCAATTAGGAACTACTTGTAAGTGCTACAGAATATTTGTCCGTATGACAATATTCTGAGAATATAACTCTTAGAGTTATATTCTATTAACAATTTCTAATTAAATTGTTATGTAACGATTCACCCCGTTACACGATGGGCATCTACATTTCAGTATTTCTGTTCTGAAGTAACTCGAAAGAGGATCAGAGATTACTCAGATTGCTCAAAACCTAACACTTACCAGCGATCGGTAGACGCCCCGTTCGATACCCTACCAGAGGTTAAGACTGAATGGAGGACACCTAATCAGATGTAGAGCTGTGCTTGCAAAATGGTGTAAGCGTCGATGCGATTTGCATCACCCTCGACATGCTATGCCATCAGATCGCACATAAGACTACGAAGAACATGACCGGGTGAATGAAATAACCCTCTGCTATGATCTTCTCCAAGTAATCGCAAGTTTAAAAGAGGACAAGCATTTGGCGGCACGACAGATTGGGTTGTCGACGCTGCAATCCGACTGGCTGACGCACCTACAGCAGAAATAGAAGTACTTCAAGGGAAGACAGCAAAAGTAAATGCATTGGCCTGCCTGTCAGGTAGTAGCACGACGATCTTTGGTTGCCACATGGTGCGAGATACCCAATAAAGGGATGATTCTGCTTCGCGCCTAAAAAACGTTTTGGAAGAAACATCCGGTCATCGAAGTCGCTGATCGCTATGAATCTTAGCGACTGGTGCCCGGTACCAAATTGCTGCCTTGTATGAACAGCGATTGTCATATGCGGGCGACTGAAGGCGTAGATCATAATTGACTCAGGCTTTTTGGGTGAGGTGTTTCACCTTTCCATCGACTACGATGAATCGTTTGACCTATTGGAGACTCTACCATATAAATGGCGGCGCGTATTCTGGGTGCGACGAACCATTTCTGTTGTTTGGATCAGGCTTGACTGGCTTATCAACCCACCAACGTCGACTCGCTATGTCATACGTCATTGGGGTCGCTTGTCCGAGTTTTTGAAGTTACACTGCAAATCGCATGCGAGATGCATGGTCTTTCGTGAAACTCCGTTGGTCTCGGAACCATGTTGGCGCATGGTATTTATTCGTTTTGCATTTTGCACGACTGCAGTCGGAATCTGATTGCGACAATGTTGACCATGCGTGAATGTCAGCGCAATAAGGCCGGAAACTAGAGCACCGGCTGTCGAACACCAAGAAGTATGGTGGACATGTGCGCAAGATCTACTCTTGAATCGCTTATTAAGTACACGAAGGTATTCCTACACTATACCTGGGCGTGTGTAACCAACGACGTTAACGTTTACCTTCATGAGGTTCCGCGTCAATGAGCACACATTCAGTTCTGGCGTCTCATTTGTAGTGCCGCCAACACGTCGATGCCAATGAAACAACAAGCGAGCATGCAGGTACGCGCCATAGAAAGAGAGAGGGCGGAGAGCATCACAACCGTAATGATAAACGGTTCATCAGTTGCTCCGCGTCTGGCGACGTCGAGACCGGTTGCAGTAGCAATCGTTGCATTTCTGACTGCCACCTACAAGGCCGTTTGTCGCCATATGGTGGAATTTATCGTTCGATTCGATTTTTCGTCACGAAACCCGAGTCATTCATTCGTATCCTGAAAGTCGCTGCCGCAACATACTGAAACACTCGTCTCGACCTTCTCACGACAATATGGTGCACCACAACCACCAAACAATGTTTCACGGCAACTTGGCCAGAACAAAAGAGACAACTTTGACTCAAACGCATGCGGTAGAACCATCGGGGGCAACACCTCGCTGCACTGGTCAGTCTTTGGTCCAGATCCGCACCATCGACCTTCGTTCTAGAGTTGTCTCCTGCATCTCGACAGCACCACGGACTAGGACGGACTAGCTACGAGGAGAAGAAGAAGAAACAGACGCTCCGTTCATTTCGTTCTGCAACTTGCACCAAAAGCGAGTCACAACCACCTCCACCTCCACCACTCGACAGCTCGAGTTTTCGCTCAGCAGCATTCAACCGTCCAACAGCAACCATGAAAGTCTTGGTTTTCTCGATCTTTAGTCTTTCTGCGGCCTTGCCAGCATCAGCTGGTACCCCCAAGTACGACGAGGACCTCGGCTGCTGGCCAATCAGCGTCGAGCGTGACGCCACCTACTGCATCGACGGGCCCGTCTGCAGCGGCGAAGGCTCGTCGCCTGCCGGATCCTCGTGCCCTGCCAAAGGTGATGTGGCGATCGCCGACTGTGACTCGAATGTCACTCGCGACAGTGTCGGCGACTACTGCGAGCTGTCAGTCGACACCGTCTGTGAGGTCATTCACACGGGGGCCTGGGGATGCGTCATCCCAACAAACGACCACGCCGACGCTTCTAAACATAACCGTCCGCACCACCGTAACTCGTACGACCGTAACTCGCACGACCGTAACTCGCACCGCGGTGCCCATCACCACGGTAACTCCCACGACGGTAACTTCAAAGACCGACACTCCCACCATGGCGATGACTCCCACTACGGTAGTCAGAACCAAGACTCGTCCTACTATAACAGCGACAGTGGTAGCTACAACAGCGGCAGCTACGAAGGTGATGACAACCACAGCAACTGCCACCACATGAGCGATCGACAAAACAGCGACAGCTATGGAGAGGGCAAGTACAACAGCGGTAACCACATGAGCGACCACCACCACATCAGCAACAACCACAACGATAGCAACAACCGCAACTACAACAGCAACAACCACAACAGCAACAGCTACGGAGAGAACGAGTCCGCCAATCACGACGGCAAGAATGACAACACCAACGATGACAAGAACAGCAACAACGACAAGAACGACGACGACACCGAGGACAACAACAGATACGAAGGTGGCCACCGCACCAGCGATTACCACAAGAGCGGTGGATATGGAGAAGCTAGCTACAACGGCGGCCACCACAACAGTGGTAGCTACGAGAAGTGGTAGCTACAACGACGGTACCTTTAACCAAGGCATAAACGGATACCTTTCCATCAAATTGTCTTCCAACTCCTTTTTTGCCAAGCTTCCGAATACGAAACTGTTAAGACGCAGTAGGTTGTTGAGGACAGACACATTCGTATAGCTGTTGGTAGAAACAGGGCATGAGAGCTGTTGTCCCTGCGATCAGTTGATCAATTACTCGGTGATGGCCGTTTCGACTGATACTGAAAGGAAGTGGCGGACCGTTCCGACCGTCATGCAACCGTTGGCAACTGCTTCCCAAACGCTATCGTACGATAACGAGAACTCAAGGCTGGCACGCTTTCTACCATCAGCAAAACAGGACCAAATGGTTGGCGCTGTCATTCATTCGTTGTTCATGAGCCCTCGGGTAGCACTTTCCATCCGAATGGACGCTGGTTATCGAACACATGCTAAGGTCATGCGCACGGTCGATCGAACGAGCGCAGCATAGTTTAATGCTTTGTGCTCAGTCGTCTGGGATGGACTAACGTCTGCTACTATCGCATGACCTGATGGTCGGATGCAACTTACCCAGTCACCCCACTTTGTGATACTAAAAGCACTTGGCACTCTGTGGTTGGGTGTAACTCGATGGGCATCTACATTTCTCTGTTTCTGTTCTGAAGTAACTTGAAATTACTCAGATCGCTCATAACCTAACACTTACCAGCGATCGGTAGACGCCCTGTTCGATACCCTACCAGAGGTTAAGACTGAATGGAGGACACCTAACCAGATGTAGAGCTGTGCTTGCAAAATGGTGTCAGCGTCGATGCGATTGGTATGACCCTCGACACGCTATGTCATCTAGTCGCACATAAGACTACGAGGAACATGACCGGCTAAATGAAATAACCCTCTGCTATGATCTTCTCCAAGTAATCGCAAGTTTAAAAAGAGGACAAGCATTTGGCGGCACGCCAAATTGGGTTATCAACACTGCAATCCGACTGGCCGAAGCACCTACAGCTAAAGCAGAAGTACTTCAAGGAAAGACAGCAAAGTAAATGCATTGGCCTGCCTGTTAGGTAGTAGCACGACTATCTTTGGTTGCCACATGGTGCGAGATACCCAATAAAGGGATGATTCTGCTTCACGCCTGAAAAAAGGTTTGAAAGAAACATCCGGGCATCGAAGTCGCTGATCGATATGAATCTTAGCGACTGGTGCCCGGTAACAAATGCATGCCTTGTATGAACAGTAGTTGTCATGTGCGGGCGACAGAAGGCGTAGATCAGAATTGACTCAGGCTTTTCGGGTGTTGCATATCACATTTCCATCTTCTACGGTGGTGAATCGTTTGAGCCATTGGAGACTCTACCATCCTAATGGTGGCGTGCCTTGATGAGGTTCTGCGTTAACGTTTGCCTCCATGAGGTTCCGCGTCAATGAGTACATATTCAGTTCTGGCGTCTCATTTGTAGTGCCGCCAACACGTCGATACCAATGAAACAACAACCACGCAGGCACGCGCCAGCGAGAGAGAGAGTGGAAAGAAACGCAACTTTGGTGATTCACAGTTCCCCAGTTGCACCGCGCTCTGGCGACGTCAAGACCGGTCGCAGTAGCAATCGTTGCATTTCTGACTGCCACCTACAAGGCCGTTTGTCGCCATATGGTGGAATTTATCGTTCGATTCGATTTTCGTCACGAAACCCGAGTCATTCATTCGTATCCTGAAAGCTGCTGCTGCAACATACTGAAACACTCATCTCGACCTTCTCACGACAATATGGTGCATCACAACCACCAAACAATGTTTCACGGCAACTTGGCCAGAACAAAAGAGACAACTTTGACTCACACGCGTGCGGTAGAACCATCGGGGGCAACACCTCGCTGCACTGATCAGTCTTTGGTCCAGATCCGCACCATCGACCTTCGTTCTAGAGTTGTCTCCTGCATCTCGACAGCACCACGGGCTGCTAGTTACAAGGGGAAGAAGAAGAAACAGACGCTCCGTTCATTTCATTCTGCAACTTGCAGCAAAGGCGAGTCACCACCACCTTCACCTCCACCACTCGACAGCTCGAGTCCTCGCTCAGCAGCATTCAACCGTCCAACAGCAACCATGAAAGTCTTGGTTTTCTCGATCTTTAGTCTTTCTGCGGCCTTGCCAGCATCAGCTGGTACCCCCAAGTACGACGAGGACCTCGGCTGCTGGCCAATCAGCGTCGAGCGTGACGCCACCTACTGCATCGACGGGCCCGTCTGCAGCGGCGAAGGCTCGTCGCCTGCCGGATCCTCGTGCCCTGTCAAAGGTGATGTGGCGATCGCCGACTGTGACTCGAATGTCACTCGCGACAGTGTCGGCGACTACTGCGAGCTGTCAGTCGACACCGTCTGTGAGGTCATTCACACGGGGGCCTGGGGATGCGTCATCCCAACAAACGACCACGCCGACGCTTCTAAACATAACCGTCCGCACCACCGTAACTCGTACGACCGTAACTCGCACGACCGTAACTCGCACCACCGTAACTCGCACCGCGGTGCCCATCACCACCGTAACTCCCACGACGGTAACTCCAAAGACCGACACTCCCACCATGGCGATGACTCCCACTACGGTAGTCAGAACCAAGACTCGTCCTACTATAACAGCGACAGTGGTAGCTACATCCGCGGCAGCTACGAATGTGATGACGACCACAGCAACGGCCACCACATGAGCGATCGACAAAACAGCGACAGCTATGGAGAGGGCAAGTACAACAGCGGTAACCACATGAGCGACCACCACCACATCAGCAACAACCACAACGATAGCAACAACCGCAACTACAACAGCAACAACCACAACAGCAACAGCTACGGAGAGAACGAGTCCGCCAATCACGACGGCAAGAATGACAACACCAACGATGACAAGAACAGCAACAACGACAAGAACGACGACGACACCGAGGACAACAACAGATACGAAGGTGGCCACCACACCAGCGATTACCACAAGAGCGGTGGCTATGGAGAAGCTAGCTACAACGGCGGCCACCACAACAGTGGTAGCTACGAAAAGTTGTAGCTACAACAACGGTACCTTTAACCAAGGCATAAACGGATACCTTTCCATCAAATTGTCTTCCAACTCCTTTTTTGCCAAGCTTCCGACTACGAAACTGTTAGGACGCAGTAGGTTGTTGAGGACAGACACATTCGTATAGCTGTTGGTAGAAACAGGGCATGAGAGCTGTTGTCCCTGCGATCAGTTGACCTACTGCTCGTTGATGACCGTATCGACTGATATCGGAAGGAAGTGGCGGACCGTTCCGACCGTCATGCAACCGTTGGCAACTGCTTCCCAAACGCTATCGTACGATAACGAGAACTCAAGGCTGGCACGCTTTCTACCATCAGCAAAACAGGACCAAATGGTTGGCGCTGTCATTCATTCGTTGTTCATGAGCCCTCGGGTAGCACTTTCCATCCGAATGGACGCTGGTTATCGAACACATGCTAAGGTCATGCGCACGGTCGATCGAACGAGCGCAGCATAGTTTAATGCTTTCTGCTCGGTCGTCTGGGATGGACTAACGTCTGCTACTATCGCATGACCTGATGGTCGGATGCAACTTACCCAGTCACTCTACTTTGTGATACTAAAAGCACTTGGCACTCTGTGGTTGGGTGTAACTCGATGGGCATCTACATTTCTCTGTTTCTGTTCTGAAGTAACTTGAAATTACTCAGATCGCTCATAACCTAACACTTACCAGCGATCGGTAGACGCCCTGTTCGATACCCTACCAGAGGTTAAGACTGAATGGAGGACACCTAACCAGATGTAGAGCTGTGCTTGCAAAATGGTGTCAGCGTCGATGCGATTGGTATGACCCTCGACACGCTATGTCATCTAGTCGCACATAAGACTACGAGGAACATGACCGGCTAAATGAAATAACCCTCTGCTATGATCTTCTCCAAGTAATCGCAAGTTTAAAAAGAGGACAAGCATTTGGCGGCACGCCAAATTGGGTTATCAACACTGCAATCCGACTGGCCGAAGCACCTACAGCTAAAGCAGAAGTACTTCAAGGAAAGACAGCAAAGTAAATGCATTGGCCTGCCTGTTAGGTAGTAGCACGACTATCTTTGGTTGCCACATGGTGCGAGATACCCAATAAAGGGATGATTCTGCTTCACGCCTAAAAAAAGGTTTGAAAGAAACATCCGGGCATCGAAGTCGCTGATCGATATGAATCTTAGCGACTGGTGCCCGGTAACAAATGCATGCCTTGTATGAACAGTAGTTGTCATGTGCGGGCGACAGAAGGCGTAGATCAGAATTGACTCAGGCTTTTCGGGTGTTGCATATCACATTTCCATCTTCTACGGTGGTGAATCGTTTGAGCCATTGGAGACTCTACCATCCTAATGGTGGCGTGCCTTGATGAGGTTCTGCGTTAACGTTTGCCTCCATGAGGTTCCGCGTCAATGAGTACATATTCAGTTCTGGCGTCTCATTTGTAGTGCCGCCAACACGTCGATACCAATGAAACAACAACCACGCAGGCACGCGCCAGCGAGAGAGAGGAAGAGAAACGCAACTTTGGTGATTCACAGTTCCCCAGTTGCACCGCGCTCTGACGACGTCAAGACCGGTCGCAGTAGCAATCGTTGCATTTCTGACTGCCACCTACAAGGCCGTTTGTCGCCATATGGTGGAATTTATCGTTCGATTCGATTTTCGTCACGAAACCCGAGTCATTCATTCGTATCCTGAAAGCTGCTGCTGCAACATACTGAAACACTCATCTCGACCTTCTCACGACAATATGGTGCATCACAACCACCAAACAATGTTTCACGGCAACTTGGCCAGAACAAAAGAGACAACTTTGACTCACACGCGTGCGGTAGAACCATCGGGGGCAACACCTCGCTGCACTGGTCAGTCTTTGGTCCAGATCCGCACCGTTCTCCTTCGTTCTAGAGTTGTCTCCTGCATCTGGACAGCACCACGGGCTGCTAGTTACAAGGGGAAGAAGAAGAAACAGACGCTCCGTTCATTTCATTCTGCAACTTGCAGCAAAGGCGAGTCACCACCACCTTCACCTCCACCACTCGACAGCTCGAGTCCTCGCTCAGCAGCATTCAACCGTCCAACAGCAACCATGAAAGTCTTGGTTTTCTCGATCTTTAGTCTTTCTGCGGCCTTGCCAGCATCAGCTGGTACCCCCAAGTACGACGAGGACCTCGGCTGCTGGCCAATCAGCGTCGAGCGTGACGCCACCTACTGCATCGACGGGCCCGTCTGCAGCGGCGAAGGCTCGTCGCCTGCCGGATCCTCGTGCCCTGTCAAAGGTGATGTGGCGATCGCCGACTGTGACTCGAATGTCACTCGCGACAGTGTCGGCGACTACTGCGAGCTGTCAGTCGACACCGTCTGTGAGGTCATTCACACGGGGGCCTGGGGATGCGTCATCCCAACAAACGACCACGCCGACGCTTCTAAACATAACCGTCCGCACCACCGTAACTCGTACGACCGTAACTCGCACGACCGTAACTCGCACCACCGTAACTCGCACCGCGGTGCCCATCACCACGGTAACTCCCACGACGGTAACTTCAAAGACCGACACTCCCACGACGATGACTCCCACTACGGTAGTCAGAACCAAGACTCGTCCTACTATAACAGCGACAGTGGTAGCTACATCCGCGGCAGCTACGAATGTGATGACGACCACAGCAACGGCCACCACATGAGCGATCGACAAAACAGCGACAGCTATGGAGAGGGCAAGTACAACAGCGGTAACCACATGAGCGACCACCACCACATCAGCAACAACCACAACGATAGCAACAACCGCAACTACAACAGCAACAACCACAACAGCAACAGCTACGGAGAGAACGAGTCCGCCAATCACGACGGCAAGAATGACAACACCAACGATGACAAGAACAGCAACAACGACAAGAACGACGACGACACCGAGGACAACAACAGATACGAAGGTGGCCACCACACCAGCGATTACCACAAGAGCGGTGGCTATGGAGAAGCTAGCTACAACGGCGGCCACCACAACAGTGGTAGCTACGAAAAGTTGTAGCTACAACAACGGTACCTTTAACCAAGGCATAAACGGATACCTTTCCATCAAATTGTCTTCCAACTCCTTTTTCGCCAAGCTTCCGACTACGAAACTGTTAGGACGCAGTAGGTTGTTGAGGACAGACACATTCGTATAGCTGTTGGTAGAAACAGGGCATGAGAGCTGTTGTCCCTGCGATCAGTTGACCTACTGCTCGTTGATGACCGTATCGACTGATATCGGAAGGAAGTGGCGGACCGTTCCGACCGTCATGCAACCGTTGGCAGCTGCCTCCCAAACGCTATCGTACGATAACGAGAACTCAAGGCTGGCACGCTTTCTACCATCAGCAAAACAGGACCAAATGGTTGGCGCTGTCATTCATTCGTTGTTCATGAGCCCTCGGGTAGCACTTTCCATCCGAATGGACGCTGGTTATCGAACACATGCTAAGGTCATGCGCACGGTCGATCGAACGAGCGCAGCATAGTTTAATGCTTTCTGCTCGGTCGTCTGGGATGGACTAACGTCTGCTACTATCGCATGACCTGATGGTCGGATGCAACTTACCCAGTCACTCTACTTTGTGATACTAAAAGCACTTGGCACTCTGTGGTTGGGTGTAACTCGATGGGCATCTACATTTCTCTGTTTCTGTTCTGAAGTAACCGTTAGAGAATTACTCAGATCGCTCAAAACCTAACACTTACCAGCGATCGGTAGACGCCCTGTTCGATACCCTACCAGAGGTTAAGACTGAATGGAGGACACCTAACCAGATGTAGAGCTGTGCTTGCAAAATGGTGTCAGCGTCGATGCGATTGGTATGACCCTCGACACGCTATGTCATCTAGTCGCACATAAGACTACGAGGAACATGACCGGCTAAATGAAATAACCCTCTGCTATGATCTTCTCCAAGTAATCGCGAAAGTTTAAAAGAGGACAAGCATTTGGCAGCATGCCAAATTGGGTTATCAACACTGCAATCCGACTGGCCGAAGCACCTACAGCTAAAGCAGAAGTACTTCAAGGAAAGACAGCAAAGTAAATGCATTGGCCTGCCTGTTAGGTAGTAGCACGACTATCTTTGGTTGCCACGCGGTGCGAGATACCCAATAAAGGGATGATTCTGCTTCACGCCTGAAAAAAGGTTTGAAAGAAACATCCGGGCATCGAAGTCGCTGATCGATATGAATCTTAGCGACTGGTGCCCGGCAACAAATGCATGCCTCGTATGGATAGCGGCTGTCATATGCAGGTGACAGAAGGCGAAAATCAGAGTTGATTCAGGCTTTTTGGGTGTTGTGTATCACATTTCCATCTACTACGATGAATTGTTTGACCCATTGGAGACTTTACCATCCAAATAGTGGCGTGCCTTGGTGAGGTTCTGCGTCAACGTTTGCCTCCATGAGGTTCCGCGTCAATGAGTACATATTCAGTTCCGGCGTCTCGTTTGTAGTGCCGCCAACACGTCGATGCCAATGAAACAACAAGCAAGCACGAAGGCGCGCGCCAGAGAAAGAGAGAGGGCAGAGAGCAACGAAACTTTGGTGATTCACAGTTCCCCAGTTGCACCGCGCTCTGGCGACGTCGAGAACGGTCGCAGTAGCAATCTTTGCATGCCACCTACAAGACCGTTCGTCGCCATATGGTGGAATTTATCGTTCGATTCGATTTTCGTCACGAAACCCGAGTCATTCATTCGTATCCTGAAAGCTGCTGCTGCAACATACTGAAACACTCGTCGCGACCTTCTCACGACAATATGGTGCATCACAACCACCAAACAATGTTTCACGGCAACTTGGCCAGAACAAAAGAGGCAACTTTGACTCACACGCGTGCGGTAGAACCATCGGGGGCAACACCTCGCTGCACTGGTCAGTCTTTGGTCCAGATCCGCACCATCGACCTTCGTTCTGGAGTTGCCTCCTGCATCTCGACAGCACCACGGGCTGCTAGCTACAAGGGGAAGAAGAAGAAACAGACGCTCCGTTCATTTCATTCTGCAACTTGCAGCAAAGGCGAGTCACCACCACCTCCACCTCCACCACTCGACAGCTCGAGTCCTCGCTCAGCGCATTCAACCGTCCAGCAGCAACCATGAAAGTCTTGGTTTTCTCGATCTTTAGTCTTTCTGCGGCCTTGCCAGCATCAGCTGGTACCCCCAAGTACGACGAGGACCTCGGCTGCTGGCCAATCAGCGTCGAGCGTGACGCCACCTACTGCATCGACGGGCCCGTCTGCAGCGGCGAAGGCTCGTCGCCTGCCGGATCCTCGTGCCCTGTCAAAGGTGATGTGGCGATCGCCGACTGTGACTCGAATGTCACTCGCGACAGTGTCGGCGACTACTGCGAGCTGTCAGTCGACACCGTCTGTGAGGTCATTCACACGGGGGCCTGGGGATGCGTCATCCCAACAAACGACCACGCCGACTCTTATGAGAGAGAGAGAGTTTCAGAGTGTCTATTTACTTAGCTTAAACTACGTGCAAGATCTCTGGTATGAACTAAGCCAGGACGTAAGCGCCGGGGTACCCGGGGGCTCTTCGTCGCTGGTGCCAGTGACCACTGGCAACCCTCTTGGTTCGGTTTCCAATAACTCGATGCATGCATAAAGCACTGCCCCGGTAATTGCTGTTGCTACTTTTCGATGCCGCCTCTGCGCTATAGCTCGAAGCTGGCGGATGCACGAGGCCCAGAAATTTTCGGTACCCCTAGTAATATCGATAGACTCTGCTCGGAAGACCGCCGCATTCCGGTCTGTCCATATCCTTGTCTGACACGTCGTCGCCAGGATGTGCCATATTTCTTTCCATACGCGGATGGCCGCAGCTACGTCGTCTTGAAATCGGTCGTTTAAGATTTTCATCCGGTGTGACTGTATCGTGTGGGCCTGGCGACTGGCGCAGGCGACCAAGAATTGTTGGGTCCGCTCGCGGGACGCGCGTTCCCCGGTCCAGTGCTCAATCAGTTTAATCCATAGGGCAGTTGCGCTGTTGCACTCCCAAAAGACATGCATGATCGTCCCTTGACATCCGTGACAGGCTGGTGCCTTCCGGCAACTATTGTCCACAGGACGCGCCGCATGGTACAGGTTGAGCTGGCGCGTCGCGACCCGATACCCTGTCCAGACTTGATATGGAGAGAGTCCGTGACAATGACCCCACACTTGCCGCGGAGATTGCCTGAGAGCGGCACTCTGCCACTTGTCGATGAGAGCCCTGTCGTCGAGACGTGAGATAAAATCCTTCAGGGGGCGGGCAAATACTTTCTTGTGAAACTGGAAAGCCTGGCGACCGAGTTCCTGAACGATGTGAATGTTGGACGTTTTGTCCAGAACGGACCAAGGAAAATGGTGAAGCTGCGGGTTCGCTTCAACAACGAGCCCTCCTGTCAAGAGCTCGCGGGTAAGCGCCTGTCGAGCGATGTCGGACTCGTCAATTAACTCCGGCACCGATCCCTGAAAAAACCATCGCAGCCCGTCACTGGCTTGGTGTAGAGTGAAAGACGTGGGTGGGCTCCTCGAACTGGACGATGGCCGACCTTCAATGCTGCCAGCGCTGTTCAGCCTCCAGTCAAAGCTGACCGAGAACGGAGGCTCGTGTCGGGGTCGGAGTGCTGGTGGCGTGTTTAGAGCCTCTCCAATTTGTAATTAGGGTGAGGATAAGAGCAAGGCTGTCGCCCACCGCCTTAATTTGGCTCCTGAGTGAGGGCCTGGGTGGTGTAGCGGCAGAGGCACAGTCATCACAAATTCTGCCGGACCTGTGCGCACTATGTTAAGCACTTCCAGAGAGCATACTGCTATCCGATCGTACTTTCTGCGTGTCAGCAGATTACCGCTCATATCCCGGATCCAGGGGTTTGCACTCCAATTAAAGGTGTGCCAAAACCGCTGAATTTCTAGTGGAAAGTCATCGGCCCCCACCGGCCGCCGAGGAAAGGCTTGATAATACGACAATACGTAATCCTCCCCTTCCCACCAGCTGGCGGCCCGTTCAAGCAGAGCCGGCGATTGACTGGCGATCCACGACTTCAGGCTGTCAAGTTGTGCTGGTGTAGGTGCGAGCCATTCTCCAAGCTCCTGCGTCAGTGCCTGGTACTTAGAGCGGCTACATCGTGACTCCGCCCTCCTAGTAGCCGTAGCTGGTGAAATTTTCTTCGCAGTACCCGGAGGCTCTCCCAAAAAGCCCATACTCGCCATGCGTCAAAATACTTGTCCTGGCGCTGCGTTAGCCAACTAATCGCATGCTTCGTCCGTTGAGTCTTGACAGCTACCGAGACATCGATAAGGTTAATCCCCCAGCCTGTTTGGGCGTCACTAGCAGGCCTGGGTTGACCTTGTGGCGGCTATTGTCGGTCACAGTCGCGTGCTCCCATAGAAAGTTCTTGTATGAATTATGCACCTCTTTTTCCGCCCATCGAGGGACGTAGAAGACGGACGCCGTAAATAGCAAGGAGGGGAGAACAATGGAGTTCAGGATGAGTACCCTGTTCTCAACGCTTGTCGCCACCCGCGTCACAGTGAGGAGGCGGCGCTGAATTGTCCGGATCCGATGAGCCCAATTTTTGTTGTCCAGAGGCCCGGTCCCGATCTCGTACCCAAGGTACCTGGTAGTGGCGCCGGAGGGCACGATGTCTATACCGGCAAAGCTCGCTCTGGAGATGGCCCGGTTCAAAAAAAGAAGCTTGCTCTTTGCCGGTTGCACATGAAGGCCTGACAGATTCCCAAACGCTTGAATAATTCCGAGAGCATGGAGGATTTGTTTTGCCGTGTCCAAAAAGAGCGTTGAGTCATCGACGAACGCCGAAAAGAGATGAGTCCGGTCGACAGTCCCAGGCACTGGCAATCCTTTGAGTGACGGGTCTTGCTTGAGGGCGAGCCCTAATACCTCTACTACGAGTAAAAAGAGGAGAGGCGCAAGCGGGCAGCCTTGCCGGATTCCGGAACGCACCGGGAGCGCGGAGGATTGACCTCCATTAACGACAAAAGTTGCAGTCGTGCCCGTGTGGATCCGACAGATGAGGTCAATAAAGCTTTCTGTAAAACCAAATAGACGCATGGACTCGTATAAGAAATCTCGGTCCACAGTATCGTAGGCCTTCCGAAAGTCGAGTAATAAGATACAGCGACTGTCTTCCGCCGTCAAGTCGATCTGCTCCGTCGCCGTCGTTAGTTGGGCCATCATCATCATCACCGTCTTGGTCATACGGCGCCCGTGAACAAAACCTTGTTGGGAGTCACTAATGATACGCGGTAAACACACCTACACCCTCGTAGCTAGCACCTTGGCAAAAACCTTGTACCCGGTTTGTAATAAAGAGATCGGTCAATAATCCATGGCGTCATCGGAGTCACCTTTCTTCATAAGCGGAATAATTGAAGCCGACAGAAATGAAGGGGGTAGGTCGGCCCCCGCTAGAATTTGGTTGCCGATAGCTACAAGCGCCGGCACCATCAGCGCTGCTGTATCTTTGTAAAAATCATTATTGAGACCATCGGGACCCGCCGCTTTATACCGACTCAGCCCTCGGACGGCTGAAAGCACCTCGTCCTACGTTATCGGTAGCAGCAGGCGTTCATTATCGAGTGGAGTGAGCACTTGCACATGTGGGATCGTCGCGAAATCACGGATCGCCGCGGGCAACGAGTCCAGTGGCTCCTTGCGATGGCTGGCGCTTAACACGGACTCCCACTCCGACGCAAATCTATCTGCCAGGGACATATGTCGTGTGAATGCGTGCCCATAGCGTGCTGTCAACGAGGAGACACGTTGGTCCCGTTCCCAATTGGCTACCCGCTTGTAAGACCACCGAAGACGCTCGGTAGATCTCTCTAACTGCTCGCCGAGACGCACTCAATGATCCTCCCGCATTTCCTCCACATTGGCCGCTATCCAATGACGCCTGGTGAAAAACAGCCGCCTCCCTCGCTGTCGTATTTTCGAGATAAAGCGCCGTAGCCGCTGCTTTTCCCGTTTATTTACCACGGTTAAACAGCGGACGCACCGGTTCACGGTAGTGTCCCAAGATTGTACTGTAGGCGCGTGACCCACCCGCGAGGCTTCCATTTCTCGTAATAGATCTCTTAAGACCCGGTCCTGTTGATTTGACTCGATAGGATACACAACACGCGCTCTGGCGGAGGTTGTGGGTTTGGATTGACGGAGCCGTAAATGAAGAACGACCTGTTGGTGATCAGAGTAGACAGAGGGAGGAGTGGCGGACCGTCATAGAACTGTCGATGCCCAGTATTCGGACACGTAGATTCGGTCGATCCGGATGGCTGTTTCGGCAGTCCAGTATGTGTAGTGATCAGTCAAATCCTCTTCCTCTTCGTCTGCATGATACCTCATAAGACGAGCATCACTCAGCCTAGACGTCTCGAGTAACTTTTCCAGCGCAGGACTTTCCGTCCTACTAGCAATTCGAGAACCTAGTCGATCCAGTTGAGGACTCTGCACGCAATTAAAATCCCCTAGCAAGGCTGTTCTCCCCAGCGGCAAGTTCCACCCGTGAAGACTCGTGAAAAAGCCTCGCGCTCTCCCCTGAGATTGGGGGCGTAAACATTTAAGATACATAAGTCCTGCACTGTAATCCCAATAGCGCGAGAATGCCATTTGTCTTCATTCCACGCAACGGCCCCCGTAGCGGCTGTCGGAGTGAGTAAAATGGCCACACCACTGGTCTTAGAGGACCCTACCGTCCAAAAGGACATGGGCGCCTGACCGGAGTCGCGATGCTTTCCCCACAACCGGCGCCATTCCTGCCGCAGGTCCGCTGCTTCCTCGGCGCTCGTGACATGAGTTTCCTGTATGCACCAAGCTAGAGGCCTAGAGCTCACTGGAGTCCGACGCCAGGCCGTCATCCATTAGATCCGTTTGGCCTGTGTGAAGCCGAGGACATTTTGGGTCAGAAGCCTCTGATTCGCCGTCCTCTGACTTGTGTGGCGAGAAGTGGATCCCAGGATGGTATGAAGCAATGCGCTGCGACCGTATGCGTCCGCGCTCGAGAGCGTCGCATCCGTAGACAGCGACGTGAGGAGTACCCGTGGAGTGCCCTTAGTTCTGGAGGAGATATATCTCCGCAGGACGGGTGAGCCCTGAGTAGAAAAACCGCTCAATCGCCGCCCAGTCAGCCACGCTGGCGGACGAGTAATATGCCTTCCTGTACAAAGCATTCGTGCTCAGCAGGTGGATATGTGATCGGAGCTTCTCGGACACGCGCGTATCCGCTGGAACCCCTTCCACGAGCGCTGCTATCTCTCGATCGTACACTAGCGCACACACTAAGTGTTGGCTCAGCTTCGCTTTCCGCTGGGGATCGCAAAATTTTAGCAAATCATCCCCCGCATAATCTTGTTCCCTCAACCGGCCCCAATCATCGGAACTGTCCATAAGCGGCGCCAAAACGACGGAATCGGTGCGGTGCTGCGAGTTTCGGATCCATTGGTCGAGCCACTGTGTCGTGTGCTGACTGACAGGTTGCTCGCGATACCGCCGCTGTAACGGGGCACCCTGAAGCTTGTACTGGTGACAGTACAAGCTACTTATTCTGATGACAGAATAAGGCGGTGCCTCGTAACTTCACGTACACTCGTACGTGCAGAGGAAGACGGTAAGAAGAAGCGAGTACTTGGTTAGAGTAAAAAGTAGAACTGTATTTATAATAGTTAATGTCTGCAATAAATCACTATTTATCTTCATCTAACTATGTCTAAATACAAATGTGTAAATCAAATATCTGCTCACCACTCATTGCGTGCGTCTGTCGTGGCGCGTCTTCGTTGGTTGATATAATGGCCTATGTCAACCAATTAGGAACTACTCGTAAGTGCTACAGAATATTTGTCCTTATGACAATATTCTGAAAAAATAACTCTTATAGTTATATTCTATTAACAATTTCTTAAAATTGTTATGTAACGATTCACCCCGTTACATCACCCCCCTTAACCATCAGTCACTTAAGTGACTGATTGACTAAGTGGATACTCGTCCCAAATCATTTGGGACAGGGTTTGCACTTGTTGGTCCGCGTCCACTTTCCAACATTTCATCGCATGGTTAACAAGCCCATGCGATGCGCGAGCAAGGCCGCCGAGAGCGAGTCTGCACGTCTCTGTGCGGACGCCGAAGCAGAAACAACAGCAACTGATGTCTCATCGGTTGCTGAAGCGACCCAGCCTGTGTCACTTGGTGATGCAGGCGCTGGTCATGAAGACACTCGTGTCTTCACAGAGTACGAGCTCGGTGTCTCGTACTCTCCTGATACGGATGACGGATCCGTATCGACGGCGATTGAATCTAAGCCGCCTGCCAAGCGTGGCATGAACGATGCTTTGCGTCGCAGCATCTTTGGTTCATCTGATGAATCAGATGAACCATCGCCGAAGCGAAGGCGCTCGAGGTCGCGAGACTCGGGTGCTAATAGTGGTGTCGGTTCTCCAATGGACACCACTTCACAGCGAGGTGCCAGTACTTCTGTCGGCACGTCGCAGGAAGAGCGGGACCGCAATGTGTTGCGTCTCGCTCCAGAAAAGAAGGCATGGATGCCTCCAAAATTCGTCATGGATCACTTGTCGGCGACGACGAGTGATCGTTGTCGAACACGATTGTTCGATTCGTCAAGGATCCATCACCTTGACCCCAGCGCGAAAAACTATCGCGCTGAAAACGAGTTCTTCATCGATGCTTTCTATAGACATCGATGGTACAGTGGGAATCACAAACGTGATGGTCCCTCACTACTTCAGGCGCGGAACGCCTACATCATCCATAACCTTGAGGATGTAGGTCGTGACGCTTGGAACGACAAACTTATCAAAGCTCGTGATAAGTTTGAAAAGCGAACCCCGACAGGTGCACGCTACAAGCTGCATCGTCTGTCAAGGGAGAAAGGATTACCCTGCCTCTCTTGGGGAGACTCGTGCCCATGTTGTGTGAACAACTCTGCACGAGCACCTAAGGAGGCTTACCTCCCTACCAGCCCGTGGTGGCGCGTACGTATCTCTACTGAGATGTACGAAGGGATTGACAACCTGAAATCCCTTTACGACCGTGCCGGGAAGACTTTCTCCGGCGGTCCTTCTGCGGCACAGGATGTGCCGCGTCGTACTGCTCAACCAGACCCAGTACGTCAATCATCAGTTGGGAGCGGGGCTCCCAAGAATCCCAGGACGGGGGATAGCCGCGCCACCGGACGAGATAACTCGTCCGACGCCCGTTCACGTCGCGGTGGTTCAACAGCTGCTCAACTAGATAGCGCTGGCCACCGCGAGAGTCCTCTAATGGAGGTGGAGGAGGAGGAAAGACGCTCTCCACACGATCATGTGGATCGGTATGTTCCCGAGAGCTTTTTGATCGCGTAACGCAAGGGTTACGCGACGATCTCGAACATGAGCGGAATAGGCGTCTCCAAATGGCGGACACTGCCTTGAAGCATCGAGCTGAGTTTGCCTTTGCTCAGCTTGAGAACGAGAGATCTCTGACATCTCTTCGTGACGAGCTAAGGGTAGCTCGTGGGATTGCTGATCGGTCTCGGGATGAGATAGCTGCTCTTCAGACCCTTGTTGATGCCCACCATCGGGAGCACAAGGCTCTCTGCGAGATGCTTGAGCGCAAGGGCGTTCTTCATCGGAAGAAGCAGCGTACTGATGGTACGGCTTAAGCCGACCAACGTAAAACGTGGGATGCGTTCGCATCTTACGTGGTAACTCGATCGTGTATGCATTGCCTAGGCGGTGCAATACACGAAATGGGCCAATGTACTTGGGTAGTAGTTTACTGCTACCCAAGTTAGTCACTACATGCTTTGGTAGATTAACCGTAGACAGTAGGACTAAGTCACATTTATTAAATAAAAGAGTGTTTGCCCTTCCATTCTTATCAGCGTTTTGCTTTTGCTTATCCACCGCTTCGGCGATGGAGTCTTGCACAAAACGGACTACCGTTTCACGAGCCAGTACGAACTCATCTGATGACTCGTTAGCTTCAGTGCACTGTGAGCGCACTGCAGCAACATCAACCTTTTCTTCAGTGAGGGCTTCCGCACTCTCACTGGCATCATATTCTTCTTCGATATCGATGTTATCGATATCGGCATCAAACGCAATGACTTCTTCGTCAGAGCGTGATGAGAGTGAACCAAATCGGTTTTTGCTCGCGCGAGTCCCTACCCCCCTTAAACCAGAGTTACACTCTAGTAAGGTGGGTACACGCGGATGTCGCAAGCCATTCACGTAAAACGGTGTATGGGTCGTGGACGCATGCACCGAGTTGTTAATGGCAAACTCTACCATTGGCAAAAACTCACTCCAACTCTTAAAGGAGTGTACGTATCCTCGAAGTATCTCTTCAAGGACACGATTGGCACGTTCCGTCTGACCATCTGACTCTGGATGATCAGATGTAGACATCTTCAAGCGCGTTCCGAGTGATTTGAACACGGAACGCCAGAAATCAGCAGTGAATCGTGGATATCTGTCTGATACGAGTTCACGGGGCAACCCATGAAGTCGGAAGATGGTGTCAATAAAGACACAAGCACAGCCACTTGCCGTGATTGTCTCTGGTACAGCCACAAGGTGTACCATTTTGCTGAATCTGTCAACAAATACGAGAATACCCGTATTCCCGCGTGCGTCTTTGGGTAACCCGAAGACGAAATCCATTGAGATGGATTCCCAGCACTCAGCCGGAACCGGTAGAGGCTGTAATGGTGCACGCAGTGAAGGACTTGACTTCACTCGTTGGCAGACTTCGCATGCGCGAACATACTTTCGCACAAACTGATACTGGCGGGGCCAGTAAAAGTCTCGACTTACCGTGAGATATGTTTTCTCTCGGCCACGATGTCCTCCTATAGGAGCATCGTGATACTCGAACATGATCCGCAAACGCAGATCAGTATCATCTGGAATGACAACACGTGGTGTGTCACCAGAAACGGCTGTATAATACAGTAAACCGTTGCGAGTAGTGTATCGATCTGATGCAGATCGATACGCAGACGACAATCGTTTCAACGATTCTCGAGATGGTTGGGAGAGATGTGTCAACAACTTCACTATCTCACCATCTTGGGCGTATGCCCGCCTCACATCATCATACAACGTTGTAGATGGGACTGAGGACGTCATAACCGCAACAGTGACTGTCTCACTGTTGGGTTTCGCGACTGTTTCAAAGTCGGGACGACGTGAGAGTGCATCAGCGACGACATTAAGTCGTCCTGGTTTGTACTCAACCGTAAAGTTGTATTCCGCAAAGAATGACAACCACCGCGCCATTCGTTGTGAAAGGTGCGGGCTGTTCACTGCCGTGCGTAACGACGCATGGTCAGTGTAAACAATGAAGGGTCTATCTCCTAATAGATAGACTCTGAACTTCGCGAGTGCATACTTCATGGCAAGGAGTTCCTTGTCATGCACTGGATAGTTCCGCTCAGCTGGTTGCAGCTGACGCGACTGATAGCAGACGACGCGTTCAACGCCTTCAAGATCGTACTGCATTAATGCACAGCCGATTGCGAAATCGCTGGCATCACAGACCACATGAAATGGCCTGTCCTGATCGGCTATTGCTAGGACTGGGGATTGTATCAAGCTCTGCTTGATACCCTCAAAGGAGCGCTGACATTCAGCGTTCCATAACCACCTCTCGTTCTTTTTCAACAAAGGAGAGAGGTGCACAGTCATCTCGGCGTAATTGCGTGAATACTTGTGCAAATACGCCGCTAGCCCAAGGAATTTTCGAAGACCTTTGACATCAACCGGCACAGGCCAGTCGGTGATCGCCTTGATCTTTTCGGGATCAGGACGTACACCGTTCTTACCAACGATGCACCCAAGAAGTGGTATTTCGCTTGCTGCAAATACACACTTCTTGAGGTTAGCATACAATTGATGCTTTCGCATGATTGTAAGAACCTGTCGGACGTGGTACCTGTGAACCTCAACGTCCGACTTTCCATTCATAGCTCGACTATGGGTGAATACGTCATCGAAATAAATCGGCGCGAATTCTCGTACTGGTCTCAACAGATGCGATACACATCTGTTGAATGTGGCAGGGGCATTACTAAGCCCTTGTGGCATTACTAGCCATTCCCAGAGCATGCCGCTAGGCGTGCTCACTGCGGTATAGGGTATATCCTGTTCCCGCATAAGGATTTGATAGAAGCCATCCATCAAATCCATGGACGAAAAGATGGTACTCTTTGACATACCATCAATGATTACGTCCTTCCTCGGTATCGGCGTCTGAGCCGGTACCGTTGCAGCGTTCAATTTGTTGAACGCGTGCACTATCCGCCACCCTCCTGTTGCTTTTCGCACACAGAAGGTCGGAGAGCTATGTGGGGAAGTTGATTCCCTCACATGGCCCGCAGCTAAACGATCGGCAAAGAACTTGTCGATCGCAAGTACTTGTTCACGAGGCAGTGGCCACTGCTTCATGACACAGTACTTCGAGCCTGGTTTAAGCTCGACCTCGTGTCGAATACCTTTATCCTTCGGTAATTCGCACGGAACAGTTTCAGGGAATACATCCTTGAATTCAACCAAATCTTCATAGAGAGGATTTTTCTTGAGCGATTCCCACGATTGGGAGTCATATCGCTCGATTCGTGTCTTTTCATCTAGGACACTCTCGTCCATAGATGAACTACTGAGAACTCTCTCGTTCTCAGTAAACACTGTTGCTGACCTTATGTCGGTTACACACTCGTCGTCAGCGACGAGTACGCAGATCTGCTTGACTTTGCCACTACGCAGATCACGCAAGAACCTTTTATGTTCGAGCGTTGGCAACTGAGTGATCTCCGAAGTCAACTTCGGAGGCGCAATCAGATCAAGTGTATAAGCGCCTACACTTGATCCGTTATTGACTATGACATTCAATGTCTCTGTCATTTCCTGGGGACTTATTCCCTCAGGCCTCGAAGGACTTATTCCTTCGGCTTCCCGGGGACTTATTCCCGCGGGTTTCGGGGAACTTATTTCCGCCGTATTTGTAATCTTGGGACTTATTCCCTTTACTTCCTCTAGCTGGGGTTGCGCAACCACAGCGAGATCCTCTACGAAAGACTCTCCAGTCGATCTAGGATTATCGTTTCGCTTAACCTGAGCGATCGATTGTTTCTCTTCTAGATGTTCCCCGCTAGGGATACATCTTTGTCCCAGTCCACCCGACTTATTCGAGTGGTGGACCTTCGGCGCAGCCTGTGTTTCCTCACAGCCGCCGGAACTTTGCTCCGAAGTGTAACCGTTTGGTACACTAAGGTTTTGTGCAGTCGTACTAACGACCGTACCACAAGTGAGGCCATCGCACTCACTCGTAGTACATCCACACGCTTGTGGACGCTCCAAAACGTTCATCAGATGGCCATCTGATGAACAAGCGGCAGGCATCGTTACTGTTCGATGTTGCCAGTTTACCCGTGGTTCGTACCTTCTGAGCCACGGTATTCCAAGGATGACATCAAATTTGTCATCCAAATCCAATACGATAAAGTCATCGTCATATTGGGTATCTTCTAGCGTATAGTGGATCTTCACTGTGCGCTTCATGACGGTTACGGATGCGCCTGTCGCAAGACGTACCGTCATCCTCGTAGGAGGTGTGTCACATTCACTGAATTTAAAGTGACCATCTTCTAGCGATTGGCGTCGCACAAAATTGTTGGACGCCCCACAATCGACTAGAGCTCGAAGGGACAACTTATTCGTCACTTCGAGTTTCAAGGTAATGAGTGAGACCTCATTACCTAGAGCAGCAACGCACAACGTTTGTGTGTTGGGAGCAACCTTCATCAAGAGGCCTACAAATTCTCTTGACGTTGCTGGATCAGTAGGGTGCTCCGCACCTACTGATCCTGTCCGTTTTTTGACGTTCCATCCCGTTGTTGCGTCTTTGTACCAACTGCGGACCCGCGTCCCTGCCCATTTCTCATGGGTGGACGGTCACTACGCCCAGTGTCGCGAGACACTGGACGAGAGGCACTACACTCGTAAGCGTAGTGTTCTGTCTTTTGACATCTGTTGCATCTCTGCAACTTCTTGTAGCCTGTAGAGCGAGCCTTCTCGCTCTCTACATAACAGAGTTCCATCGGCTCTGGACCTCCGTTGTCATATCGTCTCGGTTGACGATACGATGTCGAGCTGGCGCGAGTCTGTCTCCGACTGAAGTCTTCCTGTTCCGCAATGGAAATGGCTTGTTCTATTGAATCTAGTTCAAGCCGGAACAGGTGAGTCTTGACGGGACCATCCGCAAGACCCTGCATGAACACCGAAACCAACGTGTGTTCATCCACCGGATTGGAACTTATACAACTCGTAAGGTGTCGTATATGTTGCGCGTAAGCGTGCACATCACGCTTACCCTGCTTGAGCTTCAAGAGTTCGGTTCGAGCTCTGAACTCAGCTCTAAGCGGTTCAAACGTTTGTCTGAGCCGCGACTTGAAGACTTCTAACGACCCAAACGCATATGGGTCGTGCAACTTGAGCCCCAGTGCTCAAGTCTTGGCACGTCCTGCCAGATTTGACTGGGCAAATGCAACTTGCATATCCCCGTCGTCGATGCGACGCGCCCTTATGGTGTCATCCACTTCGACGAACCATCTCAAGAGGGAGTCTTCTTCGACCCCCTATACTTGGAGATGTCAATCTTCAAGGTTTCGGGTCGACGCGAGTGCATCGACCCACCAGCAGCAGCCTGCTGCTGTCTCAACAGTTCAAACTGTTGAGCACCTTGTTCTCTCAACAACTCTGCTTGTTGAGAACCTTGTTGGTGAAGCAAGGCTACTTTCTCGCAGTTCAGCGTCAAGTTCATTTTGAATGAACTTGGCGATAGTAGCATGTTGGGCATCTCTATTGAGAGCCTCTAGCATGACGCTAACAGCATGGATGCCCATGGTTGAACCCATTCGTTCAACCGCATCCCATTCGACATCGCTCAAATGGGAGTAGCCGTCACGCGTAGCGTGAAAGCTTTGGTCATCTTCATCATCCAACATATTCATGTTGGATGTGAACGCGGTCCTTGGACGGACTACGAAGTGCTACCAGGTGTAACGGGGCACCCTGAAGCTTGTACTGGTGACAGTACAAGCTACTTATTCTGATGACAGAATAAGGCGGTGCCTCGGAACTTCACGTACACTCGTACGTGCAGAGGAAGACGGTAAGAAGAAGCGAGTACTTGTTGAAAGTAAAAGTAGAACTGTATTTATAATAGTTAATGTCTGCAATAAATCACTATTTATCTTCATCTAACTATGTCTAAATACAAATGTGTAAATCAGTTATCTGCTCACCACTCATTGCGTGCGTCTGTCGTGGCGCGTCTTCGTTGGTTGATATAATGGCCTATATCAACCAATTAGGAACTACTCGTAAGTGCTACAGAATATTTGTCCTTATGATAATATTCTGAGAATATAACTCTTATAGTTATATTCTATTAACAATTTCTTATAAATTGTTATGTAACGATTCACCCCGTTACATCACCCCCCCCTTAACCATCAGTCACTTTAGTGACTGATTGACTAGATGGATACTCGTCCCAAATCATTTGGGACAGGGTTTGCACTTGTTGGTCCGAGTCCACTTTCCAACAATTCATCGCATGGTTAACAAGCCCATGCGATGCGCGAGCAAGGCCGCCGAGAGCGCGTCCGCACGTCTCTGTGCGGACGCCGAAGCAGAAACCACAGCAACTGATGTCTCATCGGTTGCTGAAGCGACTCAGCCTGTGTCACTTGGTGATACAGGCGCTGGTCATGAAGACACTCATGTCTTCACAGAGTATGAGCTCGGTGTCTCATACTCTCCTGATACGGAAGACGGATCCGTATCGACGGCGATCGAATCAAAGCCGCCTGCCAAGCGTGGCATGGATGATGCTATGCGTCGTAGCATCTTTGGTTCATCTGACGAATCAGATGAACCATCGCTGAAGCGAAGGCGCTCGAGGTCGCAAGATTGGGCGCTCACAGTGGTGTCGGTTCTCCTATTGACACCACTTCGCAGCGAGGTGCCAGTACTTCTGTCGGCACGTTGCAAGAAGAGCGGGACCGCAGTGTGTTGCGTCTCGCTCCCGAGAAGAAGGCATGGCTGCCTCCAAATTCCGTCATGGATCGTTTGTCGGCGACGACGAGTGATCATTATCGAACACGGTTGTTCGATTCGTCAAGGATCCATCACCTTGACCCCAGCGCGAAAGACTATCGCGCTGAGAATGAATTCTTCATCGATGCTTTCTTCAAACATCGATGGTACGGTGGGAATCACAAACGTGATGGTCCCTCACTGCTTCAAGCGTGGAACGCCTACATCCATAACCTTGAGGATGTAGGTCGTGATGCTTGGAACGACAAATTTATCAAAGCTCGTGATAAGTTAGAAAAGCGAACCCCGGCAGGTGCACGCTACAAGCTGCATCGTTTGTCAAGGGAGAAAGGATTACCCTGCCTCTCTTGGGGAGACTCGTGCCCATGTTGTGTGAACAACTCTGCACGAGCACCTAAGGAGGCTTACCTCCTTACTAGCCCATGGTGGCGCGTACGTATCTCTACTGAGATGTACGAAGGGATTGACAACCTGAAATCCCTTTACGACCGTGCCGGGAAGACTTTCCTCGGCGGCCCTTCTGCGGCACAGGATGTGCCGCGTCGTACTGCTCAACCAGACCCAGTACGTCAACCATCAGTTGGGAGCGGGGCTCCCAAGTATCCCAGGACGGGGGATAAGCCGCGCCATCGGACGAGATAACTCGTCCGACGTCCGTTCACGTCGCGGTGGTTCAACAGCTGCTCAACTAGATAGCGCTGGCCACCGCGAGAGTCCTCTAATGGAGGTGGAGGAGGAGGAAAGACGCTCTCCACACGATCGTGGGGATCCGTGTGTTCCCGAGAGCTTCTTTGATCGCGTAACGCAAGGGTTACGCAGCGATCTCGAACATGAGCGGGACAGTCGTCTCCAAATGGCGGACACTGCCTCGAAGCATCGAGCTGAGTTTGCCTTTGCTCAGCTTGAGAACGAGAGAGCTCTGACATCTCTTCGTGACGAGCTAAGGGTAGCTCGTGGGATTGTTGATCGGTCTCGGGATGAGATAGCTGCTCTTCAGACCCTTGTTGATGCCCACCATCGGGAGCACAAGGCTCTCTGCGAGATGCTTGAGCGCAAGGGCGTTCTTCATCGGAAGAAGCAGCGTACTGGTGGTACGGCTTAAGCCGACCAACGTAAAACGTGGGATGCGTTCGCATCTTACGTGGCAACTCGATCGTGTATGCATTGCCTAGGCGGTGCAATACACGAAATGGGCCAATGTACTTGGGTAGTAGTTTACTGCTACCCAAGTTAGTCACTACATGCTTTGGTAGATTAACCGTAGACAGTAGGACTAAGTCACATTTATTGAATAAAAGAGTGTTTGCCCTTCCATTCTTGTCAGCGTTTTGCTTTTTGCTTATCCACCGCTTCGGCGATGGAATCTTGCACAAAACGGACTACCGTTTCACGAGCCAGTATGAACTCATCTGCTGGCTCGTTAGCTTCGATGCGCTGTGAGCGCACTGCAGCAACAACAATCTTTTTCAGTGAGGGCTTCCGCACTCTCACTGGCATCATCTTCTTCAATGAGGGCTTCCGCACTCTCACTGGCATCATATTCTTCAGTGAGGGCTTCCGCACTCTCACTGGCATCATCTTCTTCGATATCGATGTTATCGATATCGGCATCAAACGCAATGACCTCTTCGTCAGAGCGTGATGAGCGTGAATCGTATCGGTTTTTGCTCGCGCGAGTCCCTTCCCCCTTAAACCAGAGTTACAGTCTAGTAAGGTGGGTACACGCGGATGGCGCAAGCCATTCACGTAAAATGGTGTATGGGTCGTGGACGCATGCACCGAGTTGTTAATGGCAAACTCTACCATTGGCAAAAACTCACTCCAACTCTTAAAGGAGTGTACGTATCCTCGAAGTATCTCTTCAAGGACACGATTGGCACGTTCCGTCTGACCATCTGACTCTGGATGATCAGATGTAGACATCTTCAAGCGCGTTCCGAGTGATTTGAACACGGAACGCCAGAAATCAGCACTGAATCGTGGATCTCTGTCTGATACGAGTTCACGGGGCAACCCATGAAGTCGGAAGATGGTGTCA